CAATCCTGACCAATCCTGACCAATCCTGACCAATCCACGTGAGAAGGCTGGCGCGCACGAGCGAAGACTCCCAAACCACTTGCGACGACTGCCACGCATGTGAGAAGACTTCCTATGACGCGCGAAGAGTATCACGCATTCGCGAAGACTCCCAATCACGTGCGATGACAGCCGCGCATGCGACAAGCCTCCCAATAACGCGCGAAGACTGCCGCGCATGCGAGAAGACTCCCAATGACGCGCGAAGACTGCCGCGCATGCGACAAGCCTCCCAATCACGTGCTAAGACTGCCGCGCATGCGACAAGCCTCCCAATCACTTTCAAAGACTGCCGCGCATGCGAGAAGACTCCCAATGACGCGCGAAGGCTATCACGTATGCGCGAAGACTCCCAATCACATGCGAAGACTGCCGCGCATGCGAAAAGACTCCCAATCACGTGCGAAGACTGCCGCGCATGCGACAATCCACTCAATCACGTGCGAAGACTGCCGGGCATGCGAGAAGACTCCCAATCACGTGCAAAGACTGCCCCGCATGCGTGAAGACTCCCAATCACGTGCGAAGACTGCCGCGCATGCGAGAAGACTCCCAATCACGTGCGATGACTGCCGCGCATGCGAGAAGGCTCCCAATGACGCGCGAAGACTGCCGCGCATGCGAGAAGACTCCCAATGACGCTCGAAGACTGCCACGTTTGCGAGAAGACTCCCAATCACGTGCGAAGACTGCCGCGCATGCGAGAAGACTCCCAATGACGCGCGAAGACTGCCGCGCATGCGAGAAGACTCCCAATGCCGCGCGAAGACTGCCGCGCATGCGAGAAGACTCCCAATGACGCGCAAGGACTGCCGCGCATACGAGAAGACTCCCTATGACGCGCGAAGACTGCCGCGCATGCGAGAAGGCTCCCAATGACGCGCGAAGACTGCCCCGCATGCGAGAAGACTCCCAATGACGCGCGAGGACTGCCGCGCATGCGAGAAGACTCCCAATCACGTGCGAAGACTGCCGCGCATGCGAGAAGACTCCCAATGACGCGCGAAGACTGCCGCGCATGCGAGAAGACTCCCAATGACGCGCGAAGACTGCCGCGCATGCGAGAAGACTCCCAATCACGTGCGAAGACTGCCGCGCATGCGTGAAGACTCCCAATGACGCGCGAAGGCTATCACGTATGCGCGAAGACTCCCAATGACGCGCGAAGACTGCCACGTTTGCGAGAAGACTCCCAATCACGTGCGAAGACTGCCGCGCATGCGAGAAGACTCCCAATGACGCGCGAAGACTGCCGCGCATGCGAGAAGACTCCCAATGACGCGCGAAGACTGCCGCGCATGCGAGAAGACTCCCAATCACGTGCAAAGACTGCCCCGCATGCGAGAAGACTCCCAATCACGTGCGAAGACTGCCGCGCATGCGAGAAGACTCCCAATCACGTGCGATGACTGCCGCGCATGCGAGAAGGCTCCCAATGACGCGCGAAGACTGCCGCGCATGCGAGAAGACTCCCAATGACGCGCGAAGGCTGCCACGTTTGCGAGAAGACTCCCAATCACGTGCGAAGACTGCCGCGCATGCGAGAAGACTCCCAATGACGCGCGAAGACTGCCGCGCATGCGAGAAGACTCCCAATGCCGCGCGAAGACTGCCGCGCATGCGAGAAGACTCCCAATGACGCGCAAGGACTGCCGCGCATACGAGAAGACTCCCTATGACGCGCGAAGACTGCCGCGCATGCGAGAAGGCTCCCAATGACGCGCGAAGACTGCCCCGCATGCGAGAAGACTCCCAATGACGCGCGAGGACTGCCGCGCATGCGAGAAGACTCCCAATCACGTGCGAAGACTGCCGCGCATGCGAGAAGACTCCCAATGACGCGCGAAGACTGCCGCGCATGCGAGAAGACTCCCAATGACGCGCGAAGACTGCCGCGCATGCGAGAAGACTCCCAATCACGTGCGAAGACTGCCGCGCATGCGTGAAGACTCCCAATGACGCGCGAAGGCTATCACGTATGCGCGAAGACTCCCAATGACGCGCGAAGACTGCCACGTTTGCGAGAAGACTCCCAATCACGTGCGAAGACTGCCGCGCATGCGAGAAGACTCCCAATGACGCGCGAAGACTGCCGCGCATGCGAGAAGACTCCCAATGACGCGCGAAGACTGCCGCGCATGCGAGAAGACTCCCAATGACGCGCGAGGACTGCCGCGCATGCGAGAAGACTCCCAATGACGCGCGAAGACTGCCGCGCATGCGAGAAGACTCCCAATCACGTGCGAAGACTGCCGCGCATGCGAGAAGACTCCCAATGACGCGCGAAGACTGCCGCGCATGCGAGAAGACTCCCAATGACGCGCGAACACTGCCGCGCATGCGAGAAGACTCCCAATCACGTGCGAAGACTGCCGCGCATGCGTGAAGACTCCCAATGACGCGCGAAGGCTATCACGTATGCGCGAAGACTCCCAATCACGTGCGAAGACTGCCGCGCATGCGACAAGCCTCCCAATCACGTGCGAAGACTGCCGCGCATGCGACAATCCTCCCAATCACGTGCGAAGACTGCCGCGCAAATGAGAAGACTCCCAATCACGTGCGAAGACTGCCGCGCATGCGAGAAGACTCCCAATGACGCGCGACAGCTGCCACGCACGCGCGAAGACTCCCAATCACGTACTAAGACTGCCGCGCACGCGCGAAGACTCCCAATCACGTACTAAGACTGCCGCGCATGCGACAAGCCTCCCAATCACGTGCGAAGACTGCCGCGCATGCGACAAGCCTCCCAATCACTTTCGAAGACTGCCGCGCATGCGAGAAGACTCCCAATGACGCGCGAAGGCTATCACGTATGCGCGAAGACTCCCAATCGCATGCGAAGACTGCCGCGCATGTGAAAAGACTCCCAATCACGTGCGAAGAATGCCGCGCATGCGAGAAGACTCCCAATCACGTTCGAAGACTGCAGCGCATGCGACAAGCCTCCCAATCACGTGCGATGACTTCCGCGCATGCGAGAAGACTCCCAATCACGTGCGAAGACTGCCGCGCATGCGAGAAGACTCCTAATGACGCGCGACAGCTGCCACGCACGCGCGAAGACTCCCAATCACGTACTAAGACTGCCGCGAATGCGACAAGCCTCCCAATCACGTGCGAAGACTGCCGCGCATGCGACAAGCCTCCCAATCACTTTCAAAGACTGCCGCGCATGCGAGAAGACTCCCAATGACGCGCAAAGGCTATCACGTATGCGCGAAGACTCCCAATCACATGCGAAGACTGCCGCGCATGCGAAAAGACTCCCAATCACGTGCGAAGAATGCCGCGCATGCGAGAAGACTCCCAATCACGTGCGAAGACTGCCGCGCATGCGAGAAGACTCCCAATCACGTTCGAAGACTGCAGCGCATGCGACAAGCCTCCCAATCACGTGCGAAGACTGCCGCGCATGCGAGAAGACTCCCAATGACGCGCGAAGGCTATCACGTTTGCGAGAAGACTCCCAATGACGCGCGAAGACTGCCGCTCTTGCGAGAAGACTCCCAATCACGTGCGAAGACTGCCGCGCATGCGAGAAGACTCCCAATGACGCGCGAAGGCTATAACGTTTGCGCGAAGACTCCCAATCACGTGCGAAGACTGCCGCGCATGCGAGAAGACTCCCAATCACGTGCGAAAACTGCCGCGCATGCGAGAAGACTCCCAATCACGTTCGAAGACTGCCGCGATTGCGAGAATACTCCCAATCACATGCGAAGACTGCCGCGCATGCGAGAAGACTCTCAATGACGCGCGAAAGCTGCCACTCATGCGCGAAGACTCCCAATCACGTTCGAAGACTGCCGCGCATGCGAGAAGACTCCCAATGACGCACAAAGGCTATCACGTATGCGCGGAGACTCCAAATCACATGCGAAGACTGCCGCGCATGCGAGAAGACTCCCAATGACGCGCGAAGGCTATCCCGTATGCGCGAAGACTCCCAATCACGTGCGAAGACTTCCGCGCATGTGAGATGACTCCCAATCACGTGCGAAGTCTGCCGCGCATGCGACAAGCCTCCCAATCACGTGCGAAGACTGCCGCGCATGCGAGAAGACTCTCAATGACGCGCGAAAGCTGCCACTCATGCGCGAAGACTCCCAATCACGTGCGAAGACTTCCGCGCATGCGAGAAGGTTCCTAATCACCTGCGATGACTGCCGCGCTTGCGAGAAGACTCCCAATCACGTGCGATGACTGCCGCGCATGCGAGAAGGTTCCTAATCACCTGCGATGACTGCCGCGCATGCGAGAAGACTCCCAATCACGTGCGAAGACTGCCGCGCATGCGAGAAGACACTCAATGACGCGCGAAAGCTGCCAATCATGCGCGAAGACTCCCAATCACGATCGTAGACTTCCGCGCAAGTGAGAAGACTCCCAATGACGCGCGAAGGCTATCACGTATGTACGAAGACTCCCAATCAGGAGCGAGGATTGCCGTGCGTGCGCGAAGACGTCCAATCAGGCGCGAGAACTGCCGCGCACTCGCCAAGACTCCCAATCAGGCACGAGGACTGCTGAACATGCGCGAAATTGCAAATTTAAAGGTTTAAAGGTTTAAATTTCGTTGGCGCTACCATTGGTTGAACAATGAAGCAACTACTTACTTCTTTGTTCAACCAATGGTTGACGCTACCTTTTAGCGACAATGAAATTATCTTCCTTTAAGATGCGGCCTCATTGACGCTAAAAAGTAGCGTCAACCATTGGTTGAACAATGAAGCAACTATACTTACCTCCTTGTTCAACCAATGATTGACGCTACTTTTTAGCGTCAATGAGGCCGCACCTTTATTCCTCCATTGTCCTCCAGACGGTCCTTTTATGTAATAAATATAATGCTCCATCTGTATGCGTAATACGGCTATGCTCCGAGATGTAGGAATTACCTGGTCTGAAGTACTGTCGATCTTGTCGACGTTTGTGGTTTAATTAATCGATTCAATGATTATTGTATATAAATCATCGAATATCTTACTTATATTTTGATCTGTCGAAAAAATTATTACATTGACATTATAGATCAATATATATAATTGCAAATTTATAATTTAATATTGCTAGTCAAATGCCTAATGTCATAATGTCTAAGAATGTATATTATATATATTGATGTATATGATAATGTTAAAAATTAAAAATAAATTGCCATCAGTATTAAATAATTAAATAAAAATGGAGGAGAGAGCAATGCTATGGATGCTTTCTCTTGTTATGTTTGTTGGATCTTGTCTTGGAGCTGGATCACTGCCATTAAGTTAAATAAATTTATCAGAAGAAGTAAGATATAGAAGTGAAGAAGAATATTTTATGTAATATAAAATTATGTATGTATATAATAGGTGTATATCAGAATTCATTGTATCTTGTAATTTACGTGCAATATGTTTTCCATAGGACAAGTTACAATTAGTTTCAATATTAGGAGCAGGACTCCTTGTTGGTTACTGCGCTAGCGATTATACCTGACTGTACCTGAGGGTGTAAGAGCATTATTTACTGTGGATGGTATTACTAATGAAAAAGGTTCATATAGTAGTATAGTGCAATTGCATGTTTACTGATTACCATATTTCATGAAATTAACATCTGATTAATAGTATTCCTGTTCTTTTTTCTTTTTTTACAGGCAATTTACATACTTTAACTTGGAATTAGTTTAGTACTTGGTTTATGCTTTTAATTGATCAATGTTCAGCCAGAAAAAGTGGAGGAAGACAAGAAAAGTATTACAGCAACTTTAGGTCTTATAGTAGATGCTGCTAGTTGATTGGCGGTGTTGCATTGGGAGCTGCTGCTACTACATCTCAAGCTGATGTCGAAGTGTCTTAGTTTTTCTTCGCAATAATGTTACACAAGGTAAGAAGGTTATATACAATGTTTCAGAAATGAATTAACAAGCGCTTATAAAATATGTAAGTTAATATAATTAGCTTATCAATTTTTTTTATCGCTGAACATTAAATTATATTTTATAGGCGCCAGATGCATTTGGACTTGTGTCAATTTCTTCTTCATGAAGGTGTAGATAGAAAGTAAGAAAATAAGCAGACACTTATTAATTTTCTCTCTTGCGGCAACGTGTCTTGCACTTGTGACATATTTTGGAATTGGAAAAGTAATGTGAGTGAGTAATGTAAGCTATGTTTAGCCATAATAACTCTTTATATATATTCTAAAGATATTTCTACACAAAGTTTATGTAACAATATTGTATGGAAATATTACATTAGTATAGTAAATCTTATATTTGGATGAGGGCACTTTTACGAATTACATCCTTTTCCTGTCACTTAAAAAGAAGAAAACTTTAAGATTTCCAATTTATTTCAAATAAATAATAATTATAATTAATTAATAACAAATAAATTAAAGTTTTTATTAAAATAAATTTGTTTAAATGAGTACAGAATATGAGAATACTAATATTAACGTAAAATTAATATGTATGGTCATATTGCTCATAATCTCATCTAAATTTAATTTAAATATTTGCAATTTTGGTAATAATACAAGTAAAACTTGTATCAAGTAATATGAATATAATTTTGAATTTATTTTTAAGCTAAAAATCTTGGACCTTACTTTGTATCTAAAACATCCAACAATTTAGAGGGACTTTCTATTAAAGGACTTTAATTCTCTATATATATATATATCTACTGACAATTTCGAAATTAAAAATAAATAATATTTAATGTTTATTAAAGGCTATTCAGTATTTTCCTTTCTATAATATATCTAAAATCATTGAAATAGATGATCTGCTGATATTTTTAACTAAAATAGATTGAAACTGATTGGAGAACCTACTTGTTTTAAAAACTCTTCAAAATAATCGTTTTACAGTACATTTTTCAAGATTACTTATTAATTAATATTATAATATTGTTACATTACGTTAGATAAAGATTTCATTATCTTGCCTACATATTTTTTCTTCCTATTATACAAATTAATATTTTAATTTTGTTAAAGAGTATATGGAATGTATCGCAAGATGTGTACACATACAGTTACACCCATATGCGCACTATACTTGTTTCTTTTGCTGTATACATATGCGTATTGTTTAATAGAAACATTTATTATCTGAAAGGAAAAAATGTTCCTGCTGATGCACAAAAGCGTAACGTCATATACTGATATATCTAAACACTTATGATACTTGCCCTACAGAATGACATAATTTAGATAAAGGAAAATACTTAAATAAAGTGTGTTAGTATTTTGTTTTATATTATAGAAACAAATTTGATGTAAAGTTTATATAATTGAAGTTGCATAAAATTACTCTGCTTGCTACAGTATGCTTGCAGATATCCAAACTGTCGAAACGCAATCTCTGCAATATACAATTGTTGTATGCATATATGTATGCAAAACATATAATGGTGCAAGTTGGGAAAAAAATGCTTTACGATTTAGAACAGATACATTAGAAGCAATTGTACTAAGCATTTAACGAATAAAATTCATTTATATATTATTTATTTGCCCAATATTTCTGTTATTAAATTACGTAATTTTTCCTTAACAGACACCTATTGTAATGAAATAACATACAGTGCACAAGATAGTTAATCAATATATATTATAGAGAAACAATAGAAAATCCGGGTACTAATTTTAGATATTTTTTTAAAGGATGAATGTTGTTTGTGTATATATTTCCTATCGATATGTACAAATAAAACTTGTATATACATTTAGGACATTCAGGACTGCCGCGCAAGACTGCACGCGCCAATCAGGCGCGAGAACGGACGCGGACGCGCGAAGACTCCCAATCAGGAGTGAGGACTGCAGTGCGTGCGCGAAGACGTCCAATCAGGCGCGAGAACTGCCGCGCACGCCGCCAAGACTCCCAATCAGGCGCGAGGACTGCCGCGGACGCGCGAAGACTGCCAATCAGGAGCGAGGACTGCCGCGCACGCCGCCAAGACTCCCAATCAGGCGCGAGGACTGCCGAACATGCGCGAAATTGCAAATTTAAAGGTTTAAAGGTTTAAAATTTCGTTGGCGCTAAAATGTAGCGTCAGCCATTGGTTGAACAATGAAGCAACTACTTACTTCTTTGTTCAACCAATGGTTGACGCTGCCTTTTAGCGACAATGAAATTATCTTCCTTTATTCCTCCATTGTCCTCCAGACGGTCCTTTTATGTAATAAATATAATGCTCCATCTGTATACGTAATACGTCTATGCTCCGAGATGTAGGAATTACCTGGTCTGAAGTACTGTCGATCTTGTCGACGTTTGTGGTTTAATTAATCGATTCAATGATTATTGTATATAAATCATCGAATATCTTACTTATATTTTGATCTGTCGAAAAAATTATTACATTGACATTATAGATCAATATATATAATTGCAAATTTATAATTTAATATTGCTAGTCAAATGCCTAATGTCATAATGTCTAAGAATGTATATTATATATATTGATGTATATGATAATGTTAAAAATTAAAAATAAATTGCCATCAGTATTAAATAATTAAATAAAAATGGAGGAGAGAGCAATGCTATGGATGCTTTCTCTTGTTATGTTTGTTGGATCTTGTCTTGGAGCTGGATCACTGCCATTAAGTTAAATAAATTTATCAGAAGAAGTAAGATATAGAAGTGAAGAAGAATATTTTATGTAATATAAAATTATGTATGTATATAATAGGTGTATATCAGAATTCATTGTATCTTGTAATTTACGTGCAATATGTTTTCCATAGGACAAGTTACAATTAGTTTCAATATTAGGAGCAGGACTCCTTGTTGGTACTGCGCTAGCGATTATACCTGACTGTACCTGAGGGTGTAAGAGCATTATTTACTGTGGATGGTATTACTAATGAAAAAGGTTCATATAGTAGTATAGTGCAATTGCATGTTTACTGATTACCATATTTCATGAAATTAACATCTGATTAATAGTATTCCTGTTCTTTTTTCTTTCTTTACAGGCAATTTACATACTTTAACTTGGAATTAGTTTAGTACTTGGTTTATGCTTTTAATTGATCAATGTTCAGCCAGAAAAAGTGGAGGAAGACAAGAAAAGTATTACAGCAACTTTAGGTCTTATAGTAGATGCTGCTAGTTGATTGGCGGTGTTGCATTGGGAGCTGCTGCTACTACATCTCAAGCTGATGTCGAAGTGTCTTAGTTTTTCTTCGCAATAATGTTACACAAGGTAAGAAGGTTATATACAATGTTTCAGAAATGAATTAACAAGCGCTTATAAAATATGTAAGTTAATATAATTAGCTTATCAATTTTTTTTATCGTTAAACATTAAATTATTTTTTATAGGCGCCAGATGCATTTGGACTTGTGTCATTTCTTCTTCATGAAGGTGTAGATAGAAAGTAGTAAGAAAATAAGCAGACACTTATTAATTTTCTCTCTTGCGGCACCGTGTCTTGCACTTGTGACATTATTTTGGAATTGGAAAAGTAATGTGAGTGAGTAATGTAAGCCATGTTTGCCATAATAACTCTTTATATATATTCTAAAGATATTTCTACACAAAGTTTATGTAACAATATTGTATGGAAATATTACATTAGTATAGTAAATCTTATATTTGGATGAGGGCACTTTTACGAATTACATCCTTTTCCTGTCACTTAAAAAGAAGAAAACTTTAAGATTTCCAATTTATTTCAAATAAATAATAATTATAATTAATTAATAACAAATAAATTAAAGTTTTTATTAAAATAAATTTGTTTAAATGAGTACAGAATATGAGAATACTAATATTAACGTAAAATTAATATGTATGGTCATATTGCTCATAATCTCATCTAAATTTAATTTAAATATTTGCAATTTTGGTAATAATACAAATAAAACTTGTATCAAGTAATATGAATATAATTTTGAATTTATTTTTAAGCTAAAAATCTTGGACCTTACTTTGTATCTAAAACATCCAACAATGTAAAGCGACTTTTTATTAAAGGACTTTAATTCTCTATATATATCTACTTACAATTTCGGAATTAAAAATAAATAATATTTAATGTTTATTAAAGGCTATTCAGTATTTTCCTTTCTATAATATATCTAAAATCATTGAAATAGATGATCTGCTGATATTTTTAACTAAAATAGGTTGAAATTGATTGGAGAACCTACTTGTTTTAAAAACTCTTCAAAATAATCGTTTTTACAGTACATTTTTCAAGATTACTTATTAATTAATATTATAATATTGTTACATTATGTTACATAAAGATTTCATTATCTTGCCTACATATTTTTTCTTCCTATTATACAAATTAATATTTTAATTTTGTTAAAGAGTATATGGAATGTATCGCAAGATGTGTACACATACAGTTACACCCATATGCGCACTATACTTGTTTCTTTTGCTCTATACATATGTGTATTGTTTAATAGAAACATTTATTATCTGAAAGGTAAAATGTTCCTGCTGATGGACAAAAGCGTAACCATATACTGATATATCTAAACACTTATGATACTTGCTCTACAGAATGACATAATTTAGAGCAAATACTTAAAGAAAATGTGTTAGTATTTTGTTTTATATTATAGAAACAAATTTGATGTAAAGTTTATATAATAAAGTTGCATAAAATTACTCTTCTTGCTACAGTATGCTTGCAGATATCCAAACTGTCGAAACGCAATCTCTGCAATATACAATTGTTGTAAATATATGTATGCAAAACATATAATGGTGCAAGTTGGAAAAAAATGCTTTACGATTTAGAACAGATACATTAGAAGCAATTGTACTAAGCATTTAACGAATAAAATCATTTATATATTATTTATTTGCCCAATATTTTTGTTATTAAATTACATTATTGTTGCTTAATAGATACCGATTGTAATGAAATAACATACAGTGCACAAGATAGTTAATCAATATATATTATAGAGAAACAATAGAAAATGCGGGTACTAATTTTAGATATTTAGATATTTTAAAGAATGAATGTTATTTGCATATATTTCCTATCGATATATACAAATAAAATTTGTATATATATTTACATTCAGGACTGCTGCGCACGCGCGAAGACTCCCAATCAGCCGCGAGGACTGCCGCACACGCGCCAAGACTCCCAATCACGTGCGAAGACTCCCAATCAGGAGCGAGGACTGCCGTGCATGCGCGAAGACGTCCAATCAGGCGCGAGAACTGCCGCGCACGCGCCAAGACTCCCAATCAGGCGCGAGGACTGCCGCTCATACGTGAAGCTCCCAATTAGGCGCGAGGACTGCCGCGCATGCGCGAAGACTCCCGGAAAGACGCGCGGAAGTATTTACGAACATGCGCGAAATTGCACCTTTGAGGTGCCATTTCATTGACTCTAAAATTTAGTGTCAACCATTGTTTGAACAATAAAGCAACTGCTTACTTCTTTGTTCAACCAATGGTTGACGCTACTTTTTAGCGACAATAAAATTTCACTTTAACGCCAAGCTTACTCCACTTATTGTAGACGACGCTTGAGAATGCTTTGTCTAGTTACACACGTCATTTGGGTGACACATATTAAGCCGGATCTACATTGGTTGTATCGTAACGTCGTAAGTCATAGGCAAATTGATCAATCAATCATGGTTGATTATTTTTGAAATAATCGAATATGATTGGTCTTACGACGTACTTGCGACGTTACGATACGACCAATGTAGATTCGGCTTTATGTACAAAGTCAATGGGAGTTAGCGATCTAGTTATAGTATAGATATCTGTGGTTTATAAGCGCAATCACAAAAGTTATGTTGGTGACAGTGGAGAAAATGGCCGTGCATATCTATGCCGCAGAGTTTACAGATTCCAGCAAGAGATAGATTCGCGTGTCGCCAATAGAACTCGTCAAAATTATACCCGCTTGTGTCTTAAGTAGTGCGTAATTCTCTCTTTTCCTTGGACGAATCTCCCGTAACAAGAAGCACAAGATCTAAGTTGACGGCAACTACATACATTCCGGTGGATTTTGCAGCTTGACGGAGAGAGGGAAAGCAGTGTGTCGTGTCCAGAACTTCCAGACTAATTGCTTTATCACGTGAAACAGGTAAGCTAATGTTCGCGAGAGATATCTTCATGTTTTTCACGTTTGTTTTTAATGGTTCGGGGCGCTAAGTCCATTCTAGCGTCATACATTGAAACATGGCACGATCTTATCTCGGCAAAACCGCCCGAAGCGAGAGCAGTATATGCGGCGCCTTGTTCTCTCTCCCTCCCCCCCCTGCCTTCTTTCTCTCTCTCTCTTTCTATAGTTGCATCGAGCAGTCTGTTCCTTTTAGCTGCGCTTCTTTACACTTTGTGCGTTCAAAATCAGATTACTCACATATATTAGTACGTTGAAGAGAAGGGAATTATAGATAGATAGATAGGTAGGTGAACAGATAAGTACGAAAAAGATATAAGATTCCTCTCTGTGAAAAAATCTGTGCCTGTATTTACGCGTAATATTATACGAACATCACGGTATCACGCGGAGCAAATCCTGTCTCTCGCTGACGATGATGACGACGACAACGACGACTCTCGATCTCATCTTACGCGTTGTGCCGATTTCCAGCCGTATGTGAGGGCGTGTTCATACGAGAACTAACTGCTTACGCGGATGTGTTTTCGAAAATTTAGAATCAAAACAACACTCTTACACGCATCGGCGACATTGACGAATGACGTGACTTAAGGGTACTTGTCAAAATTGTGTCAATCCGCGTGATCGAACGTCAACACCTGTCGATGATTCCATCATTCATTCTCTCTCTCCCCCCTCTCTCCCTTTCTCCTCCCCTCCTCTCTCTCGCTCGCTTGCTTTCGTTCATCTTCTCTCTTTTTCCGTTTTGTCTTTCTCTATCATTGTTCGCTTCGTTCGTTCATTCACGTGATTTCTCATTTTCTTATCGTTTGTTACGCTGTGCTTATTTATTACGCTCGCGATGTAGACGTATCTTGCGCGATACAAACACACTCGTGGACCGAAACGACGCTATCGACCAGAAGCGACGAGGACGACGACGACGACGACGACGACGACAGCGGCGGCGGCGGCGACGGATCGTATTCGCTAAGGATTATCGTCGAAGCAGGACGTATCTCTGTTTCGTTACGTATTCGATACAGTATCGCAGTTCTAATGTATTCCGGTATTAACCTCTAATCGCATTTTCCGTTTCCCCTACGAGTTGGAAGACGTTTTGCAAGTCTTGCCCACGCGAAATATTTTTACGAGTAAGGATACATTCTGCAATCGCACATCGTTATGTGTCACTTCTCTTCCTCTTGAAAGGGAATGTCGAATCGCGAAAGAATATGTTGGCGTCCCGTCATTCCCGTTATTTTTTTAAATCTTAATTGTCGTTTTCTCTATTTGCATATTAACACAAGGCCAGAATATAAAAGTGACAAATTATTGATCTGGAAAAAAAAATAGATTGTCGATTTAAGGTAGAAATTCAAATTTTTATATTGCTTTTGCAAAATTATCGGAGAAGCCTTTGTATTTCTCTGAATCCATATGTTGACAATACCCGCGCATCACAGATAATAATTTTTTTAAAGTTATCAACAATATCTAACCTTTCTCTGTTCTAGTTATCTCTTTTATCATTTATAACATGCATGTGTATGTAATATATTTCTAGTACAATAGATTATTTCAAAGAATTTTATATATATGTCTTGTACAACTTTGTATTTCATTTTCCAGTTCTAAACTAATATAAAGAGAGAAATCTTATAGATGGAATGTTGTTCCATTGACTATGTCCTAGTTTTCTCCATCACTGGAATTTTTACATTTATTATTTTCAGACTGCTAGAAACACAAAATACTACATTATTGTAGTACTATATTATATTAAAAATATGCTTCTTGTTTAATAACTGAATATATTAAATATATAAGAAATATACTTTGATACCAAAATGAATGAAATAATTATATCGACAAGATGAGATTTCACGTTAAATTGATATTGCGCAAACAAAAGTATGATTAATAAGATAATTTATATTTTTTTGTTCCAGAAAACACTTGATTTCAATATATATTGCATATATAATTATTGAAGAGCAATGGGTCGTCCTCATTTTATCTGTGCTCGAAACAGTTTGATCATAACGACAATCAATTAAGAAGTGTGATTTAAAATTTAAAACAAAAATGCGGGAGTGGTACGGCACGGTCCCTTGGTATCTGGCAGGGATCTGAAACAAATATCTGTGTTTTTGATGCAATAGATATTAAAATAATATGAACTGTATAAAGCAATACATTGTTTTAAGTATATTGCTTAATGAGTTGGAAAGGAGAAATGAGCTCTTTTGAGCATTGAATAAAGTAACATTTTATGAATTTAATATACTCTTGTAATCAAAGAGTATTTACGATTGAAGAGCATCTTTACATACACACACACGTGTGTATGTACACATGTACATAAATTGTAATTAATAAGTTCAGTTTGAGTTTATGTGTAAAAATATATTAAACAGTGCAACTACCAAAATGTCATTCTTATCAAATCTGAAGAAAGCATTCCACTTTGGTGGTAATGATGCAAAGAAGAAGAAGTTGTTTAACAATATTAAAATGGACTGTAATCCGGAGGAGTTTTGGGAAATGGTTGGTGAACTAGGCGATGGTGCATTTGGTAAAGTTTATAAGGTAATATTGCCTGAAAAAGTTATAATATATTAAGTGTAGTTATTTGATCACGTCTATGTATTTCTAAATGATTGTTGTACTATTTGCTGCAGGCACAACACAAGCAGTCTAATCAGCTCGCCGCTGCAAAAATGTGTGCATTAGAGGGAGAAGATGATCTTAGTGATTTTATGATTGAAATAGATATTTTATCGGAATGCAAACATCCTAATATTGTTGAATTACACGAAGCCTATTTCATCGAGGGAAAATTGTGGGTATGCGTTACTTTTTTTTCTTTTTATAAAAATAGTTTTAACTCTCATGATGGAAGTTGATAAATTAGATAATTATTTCTGATATAATTAAATGATCAATTACTGTGAGAAACAATGCGAAAAGAGAAACATTTTAAATATAGATGTTAATCGAGTATTGTGACGGTGGTGCTGTGGATTCTATAATGGTCGAGTTGGAAAAGGCGCTGACTGAAATGCAAATAGCGTACATTTGTCAGCATATGACTAAAGGTCTTGCTTTCTTACACAAATCCAAAGTTATACACAGAGATTTAAAGGCGGGGAATGTTTTACTGACTATGGCGGGAGGTGTTAAACTAGGTAAATGCCTCAACTTTAGTAAATATCTAATATCTAATTTTAACAAATATCTCTGCTGTTCCTGCTGCATATGTGCGTAAGTTCAAACTTACAAGATTTTTTTGTCTTTGATTGCAGCTGATTTTGGAGTATCTGCAAAGAATAAGCATACTTTACAGAAGCACGATACATTTATTGGCACTCCTTATTGGATGGCACCCGAGGTTGTCTTATGTGAAACATTTAGAGACAATCCCTATGATTTTAAAGTAGGTGGTACTCTCGTTTGCGCGCGTGCGGGCGTGCGTCCATGCGCGCGTGTGTGGGCGTGTGCGTGCGCGTGTGTGTGTATTAATAAATATAAATGTATTTTTTTCTTCTTTTTATCTCTCTCTCTCCTTTATATTAACTTCAACTTATAAAATATGATATTTTTTCCATGTTTATTGATTGTTTAGGTGGACATCTGGTCTCTTGGCATAACTCTAATAGAGTTTGCACAAATGGAGCCACCGAACCACGAAATGTCGCCGATGCGAGTGCTACTTAAAATACAGAAAAGCGATCCGCCGAAACTGGATCAGCCCAGCAAATGGAGTAAGGAATTTAATGATTTTATTGCTAAAACTCTTATAAAGGATCCGTCCTCACGACCTACAGCTGACGATTTGCTAAAACATCCGTTTATAAGCCGAAATTTAGATCCAAAACCTGTCAGGGATTTGTTGCTTGAATATAAGGCGGATGTTGTTGAAGAGGAGCTCGTAGACGAGGAAGCAGAGGTAAGATTTTACTTTTCATCATATATTTTATTTCAAATTCTTCATGTACATGTTAATTATGCAGATTATGTGCAATAAAAGTAATTTAATTAGTAATCAATTAATAAATATAAATGCATAGAATTGAATATAAATAACATATATTAATTATTTATGAATATAAGAATATATACACACACACACGCTCATATATATATGAATATATTTATATTTAACAAATATAAATTGCATCCATAAATATTCTTTTATATGAATTAAACACAGTGTGCCTTATCTACAAAGAAAAAGAAAGAAAGATTGTAGCATAATATTTTTTACACTTATCTCTCTCAAATCAGTTTATGTCATAGTTATATTAAAATTTCATAAACTATACATATATTTTTAATTTCAAAGTTTCAATTTCCGCGAAAAGATTTTATTCCAATACAAGAAGAGTCCTTTGCAAGTCTTAATGCAACAATACGATATTTTTATTTCATAATTTAAATAATTATATATTGAGTTTCTGACAATGCAGAATTAACATGTATTATACACTGTTACATGCTTCCGTTATTATAGAAGGCCAAAAAAACGAAAAAACACAGAGAACAATATCAGCGAATTGGTAAGCTGCTTCTTGGTGAAGCATATAATATGTGTTTCTCATTTATCGTTTATAAAATGGAATAATATAAATGGTTAACGTATATTGATTAGATTTTTTACTTTGTATCGTATCAATTAAAGCCACTAGTCCTACAATCAATATTTTTAAAAGATTAAGAGCATAGCTTGATGATTTACAAGTTATAAATTATTGAATATGAGAATATAATATGAGATTGTTTGTATTAATATGCAATTGATATGCATGACGAATCACATCTTAGTTAAATATATAAATATTGCAGTAATAATTGTCGTAACAATAATGCATGCATCTAAAGTTAAACTCTGAATTGTACATTTTATTTTTCTCTTCAATCACGAGGAATAAGTGGTTAAAAATATCTGTAGAACAGTATCAATAGTATAAAATCCTCTATATGTATTGATGTAATTGGAATGAATATGTAATATTTATGATAATTATAATTTGGTTGTGCATGCGGTTCTCCTGGCCCTCGCCAGCCTCATTATCCCAATATCTGTCAGGTTAGTAGCTTGCACTGTCGCACTTTATGTGCTGACAGATTGATTAATCCTGAGACTGAAAGCTCGTGTAATATATAAACAAACAAAATCATACACATGTTAATACACAAGTATAAAATTAAAAATATTTTTACATCAGCAATCTCTCATGTTACAAATAGTTTCCTCTGAAACTGTTAAAGGATATAAGACAGTAACGATAAAAATTTTTTGGTGATGTTTTTGTGAAGGCTGCTCATTATAAATAAGAAATAAGTGAGGTATGAAAGTAAAAGTTCCAAATAATAAATGAAGTATAAAATATTTATCTTCCAATGCTCTAAACTTCCTTAATATTTCTATGTGTGAAATGATAAAAAAATCCGTGTAAGAAAAAATGTCAGATTTTTACTTTAAGAGCAAGGGAAAGAGAGAGAGAGAGAGAGAAGTTTGCTTATATTGAAGAATTTGACAATATGTTTTTCTATTGTTACCCTATAAAAGATCTCAATTTTAATAAAAAAAAGAATGTTGTCCCTTATAATAGTTTTTTGGAAAAAAACAGCTTCTGATTTCTGATGACATGGATGATTACCATTCTATACATTATGTACATACAGCATGAAATAATATGATATACTTTGTTTTGCTTTTTTTTTCTTTTTCTGTTGTTTAACACTACCTATCTTGTTACATTTTATTACATCAAAGTGATAAACCGAATTATAATATATAATAATAATTTGTAAATTTTTACCTGTATATTTTTAGTTACATGTTACTTTTAATATTTCATTATTAGTAATAATGATGTAGAAATCAAATAATGAAGAATTGAAAAAGGTTTTTCTTCTATTTTATTATAGTTGCGTTATAAGTCATGTACGTTAATGTTTCAGGAGCATCGCACGTCCCACCTTCCTTTGGAGTTGGATCAAATCACAGATGACTCCGCTCCTACGCGTCTTGATGCTGAAATTAAAAGTATTTTACAAAATTTTACTCTAATAGACGCGCAGCATTGCAAAATATATTAATAATTCTTTCTCGTTTCTCCTAGTCACTGATAAAGAAAATATCGCGACATTGCCTACATCTTTGAAGAAAGAGGAAAGTCATAAGCGTGAGATTAATCGGGATGGTGAGAAGGAGGACAAGAATAAAAGATTACGTAAGGCTGAATCCAAAGAGAATATACAGCCTCCTTCTGCTGAAAAAAAGCAGGTATTTGACATAATTGATCAATTTATTAAATAATAATTCATTGTCTCCACGCTCTCATTTGAGGAATAAATGTTAATATCATGTATAAATTATTCGTCCAGGCACCTAAGCCACCAAATGAAACAAGCGAGCGTAGATTATCTCGAGATAAAGGGCCGGCACCTCCACCACCACCCATGCGTCAAGATAGCGAAGAAAAGAAAAAGAAGGACGTTGAAGGGAGAGAAAACGTTTCGAAGGATGTCGAAAAGATCGTAAACTTGACGGATAAACAGAAATCTGCCGAAGATAAATCGCAAATAAATAAATTGCCGCAAAATGAAAAAATGGTGGATCAAGTGACAAACGTTGCGGAACAAAGAAACTTGGAAACTGAAAATCAGATGCAAAATGAATTGGATGGTTCCGGAAAAGTAAAGAAAAATGAAAACGAAGATAATGTTAAACTGTTCGATAATATAAGAAGGTTTGAAAATCAGCAAAAGTTAATAAACAGCAAATCAAGTCTTTCTTCGAAAAAACAATTCGGAGTAAATGAGAAACGCAAATCAGCACCTGTAAAGCCAGAAATGATTGAAGATTTGTCGAAAATAATATACAAACAATCGTCTTTAGAAGAAAAGGATAGGTAAGTTTATTTTTTATTTATTTATTTTTTATTGGCAGCATCCATTTAAATTCATATACTGTAGAGTAGAGCTGAAATGGGGGGGTTGAAAGAAGAAAAACTAAAAATCGTAAAATAATATTTCACTTTAGGATGAAAAGTAAATTATTATCCGTTGATGACGTAACGAATTACGATCTGCAATCTCGAGAAAAAGATTACAAGAGTTTAGAAGAAAAACGAAAATCCGTTGGAGAGAAACTGAATGCTGTACTGGAGAAGCAATTGTCCATGGATGGAAAAAGAATAAGCGACAGTCCTATGGAAACGTTAAAGCATACATCGACTGTCGCATCATCGGAGAAGAATAACGTTAAAGCTAATTCTACAGAGGATATTAAGATACAATTTGGCTTGATAAAGACTGAGAATGCAACTTTGAAAAGTCGCAGCACGGGATCGTCGAGAAACGATTCCTTGGAAAGTTTCTCGGACGAATTACACATTAAAGTGGATGACAATAAGTCAGAATACAATCGAAAAGATACGTTGAGCAATGATAAGAGTTTGGAAAAACAAGATTCGGAAATTAACGTGTCGGTAATTACGTCGACGCCGCTAAAAAATAAAAGCAGTTCGAGAAGAAGCAGCGGAGACAATATAGTCGTTATAACTGGTAAAAATTATAAATAACATATCAGTATCTCAAATGGATAAATTTATCTCTTTACCCTTTCTCTATTTATGTTATGTATTATTCATGTTGCAGGAAAAAGTCAATCCGAGCAAGAGGTACGCTTAAACACTTCGACTGTTCGTATTACTGCCGATTTGCCGGACATGTCGAATAGTCTAGCAAGTAACATAAGTCAAGTTACTGTCGTGACGACGCATCCGCCCGTGCTAGTGGACGCGCCCTCGACGACGACGACGACGACGACAATAACGACAACAACGACGACGTCTCTCTCGCGTCGCACTTCACCAACATCGGAGGTCGTTATTGTTGCCAATGAAATGAACAAGACTCAGGTGAATGACAATTCAATTGTCGACGATGATGCATTTCCTAGTCTGGATAGTCTGGAATATACGCCGCAGGAACAGTCTATCGTACTTACCGACGTGTCTAAGAGAATTGGTAAAAAGTTGGATGAGTCAGAGGTGATTATAGTGAGTCCAATTGTAGACGAGTTGCAAGATACCAGTCATGTTTCTGTAGTTACGGTGGGTGATGATAAGGAACAAGTAAAGGACTCTTCGAGATCCAAAAAGCACAACGTTATTCGTACCGGTTCGTCCCATAGCGATCTGAGCTCGAACGAGAGATCGAGCTTGAGGAGCGACAGCGGAGACGAGAGCAGCAAAGTGATGATCGCCAGTACGATCGTAGAGCCTTCGGAAGCGGATGACTACGAGAGAAATGAAGCGAAGAAGATAAACGGATTAATCAAGAATGAGATCGTGCCGCATCACGTCGATGATAAAATCGTAAAGACGATCAAGCCGAAAGAGATCAGCGTCAAGAGCTTTGGCAAAGAAAAACGAGTCTCTCCGGATAGCTTCGAAGGTTCCAGGTCTCAAAGCGATTCCAGTTCCATAAGATCGCATACGCCGAGCAAGAGCATCGATCGCTCCGATGCCGAATCCATCTCTACAACGATCAGTCAGGATAGCAGGGAATCAAACAAGGAAAATCGCTTGAATCAAGCCCAGCACGCGGAGGTCGATGAGGAAGTCGTACTGCGCCGTAAACCTGATTATAATCGCGAGATGTCTCGACCGACCAGAACGAAAGAGGATATACAAATGATGAATTTGAAAAAGAAGACGAGAAAGCGTACGAGAAAGTTCGAGATCGATGGTGTCGTAGTTACAACGACGACTTCTAAGGTGATATACGGCGACGATGAGAACGGCAAGGTGTATGACGATCAGATATTCAGGAAGCAAGAGCTGAGAGAATTGAAGATGTTGCAAAAGATGGAGCAGAAACAATTTCAGGATTTGGCACAGAAAGCTCAGTTCAACAAGGATCAGCAGGAAAAGCGATTCGAACAGGAAAGGCAACTATTGGAGCGTAATGCTGAAGCGGATTTGGAGGCGCTCGCTAGACAACAGAGACAGCAAATCGAGCGGGCCGAAGCGCAGCAGGAAGTCGATCTGCGACTGGCGTCCAAAAAAATTCGTAGCGAACAGGAAAGGGAGCTCAAGCAGTTCCGAGAGGGTCTGAAACAAGAATTGAGATTATTGAAGCAAGAGATAGATTTAATGCCAAAAGATAAGCGAAAAAGTGCGTTTAAGATACGAAAGGAGAAGCTCGAGGCGGAGCACGAGGAGCGAGAGAAACTCTTCTTGGAGAAACTCAATGAGAGCCACGAGATATCGCTGAGACGATTGTCGGACAGTCATCGCGAAAAGATCGCATTGATGGAACGACAATTCTTGCAACAGAAGCAGCAATTGATGCGCGGCAGGGAGGCGGCTATCTGGGAGCAGGAGGAACGGCAAATACATGAGCGACAACAGTTACTCAAGAAACAGCTCAAGGATATATTCTTCTTGCAGAGACATCAGATGCTCATACGGCACGAGAAGGAATTGGAGCAGATGAAGCGAATGAATCAGAGGAAAGAGGAAGAATTGATCAAGCGACAGACGGTGGAACGTAGAAATCTACCTAAGCGTATTCGCAATGAAATGAAGGCGCGCGAAATGATGTTTCGCGAATCGATGAGAATCTCGATGTCATCCGTACTCGCGCCGGATCCCGATGCCGAGCGGGAGAAGTTGAAAAAGTTTCAGGAGAACGAGAAAAAGAGGTATAGAGCGGAGCAACAGAGATTCGAATTGAAGCATTCCAGACAGCTCGAAGAAGTGAGGGCCCAAAGCGATGCCACGATCAAGGAACTGGAGCAATTGCAGAACGAAAAGCGAAAGATGCTAATGGAACATGAGACGCTAAAGTTGAAGGAACAGGAGGAGGCCTATGGCAAAGAAATTCGTGAGTGGAAAGCGCAACTTAAGCCTCGAAAACAGGTAAATATTGGGCAAATCTCGGATAAATGTAAAAAGATTGTTCCAAGTTTTATTTATATTTTATCGATGTTTTTCTCTCTTGGATGCAAAAATTGATCTTCGACGATCTGATAGTGTAATTGCTTTTGAATTTCATCAAATCTTGAATCAATTCAGGATTCAGCGATGTGCGATTTATATTTTTTTCCGCATCTTTTATTAACAATGTGTGAGAATTTAGTTTAATCGAAAAGCGTCGGCGCAAAACGACGCAGCATCGTAAAGTAATCGAAAATCGAGATACGAGCGCAAACTTGATTGTTCGATTGTTTCTTGTAATAAACACGTCCGCTTCTGCATCTAGCTTGCGTCACTTTGCGCGGAGCTCTTAATCTGCATGACTCTAATCATTAATAAAATAAAAGTCGCTGTAAATAATTAAAAACAATTAGAGAAAATCTAGAGGGGGGGGGGGAGGGCGAAAGGAAATGTACGATATAGAATTTGCAGTTAAAGTATTTTAAATTTGCGCAGCAAAGTATCGAACACTATAAGTCTGAAATAAGTCTTGATATACCTGTTATAGAAGATAGAAGCTGATCTGGCGGCTGAAATGGAAGCATTGGAAAAGCTCTACCAAGACTATTTGCCTTCTTCTGGTCTTCTTAGTGGTCTCTCTTTTCCCTTTTTCGACTATTCTAAAACCGTAATTTCCGACACTTGGAAAAGATCTCCACGCTTACCGCGCTCCACTCCTACCTCTCCGTCTTTCACTATACCAAGAGTGTCGCTAAAAATTAGTGCTTCTGATGCGGGTACCTTTGCGTCAAACGGCACGCTCTCACGAAGTCACTCTAGATCGGACCTAGTACCACCTTTTCGTAGTATTCGTTCTAAATCGTCCTCTTAATAATACGTGTCATATCGTGTGTCATACGGACGAAACATTTTACGCATATATATATATATATATATATATATATATATATATATATATATATATATGCACGTTATATATGCGTTTATAATTTTTAATGTTTTTTCTCTTTATCTCTTCTCAAAGACATACAGTAACATTTTTCAAGTTGTACGCGCATATATAAATCTTCCCAGCTTCTGTGAATGGCACGCTTATTTCCATGTGTTGTATGCATGCATTTAACGCATCAGTGCATATATATATATATATATATATATATATATATATATATATATATATATCCTTGATCTAAAATTAAAAAATTCGTATTAGCAAGGAAACATAGTTTGCAAATCATCTACATTTCGAAATGTGTCACAATTTCATTCTTGAGTAGCTTTCTTTCAAACATATCAGATTTCCATGTTTATATAATATATACTTTCTCTTGAATAATCATGGAAAAATAAACTTTGCTCTACTCATTGGTACCTTTAATAATAAAAATGCCACAAATTTGGGTTCCATTACATATTTATATCGATCAGTGAAAGGATATACAAATCAAATGTAGTATACATACATATCTTTTACATATATATGCAATTATATACAAATTATATACAAAAAGTTATTATTATTAAAGTTATTAATATACTTGAAAGATAAGTTACAGTTTTTGTGAATAAAAACTTATGGGACACATATGTCGGCTGAAACTGCATTATATAATACGGCAAATTAATTTATTCTTTTGAATGTGAATTATGATTTTAAAAGTAGGAAAAAATACGCCCAATCATTTAGATAAGGTCTTAATTTTCTGAGATATATAAAACAAGTCGAATAAAGATCTTAATTTCTCAAGATCTACGTATACAAAGTTCGTACAAGTTTGAGTACATGATTGTTTGTGTGTTAGTTTATGTGCTTTTGTTTTCTTTTTCTATATTTCTTTCAATCATTTTCATTCAATTATGCAATATTTTATCCATTTGTAATTGATTGATAAAAAATCTGTTGATAAAAATGTGCTTGAAGAAAGGAAGGAAAAGCATTATTAATAAATTTCTATGCAATATGTATTAAAAACATACAGATTTGATTAAAATTATTAACATGTTAGAATATTCACGAAAATAGAAATAACAAAAAAAATACAACTCATAGTGTGTATGTATATTTTTAGAATTACAGTCTCTACAACATTGTAACTTCGTCCATGTATTTCGATTTAATCACACACATCGTAAATGATGTTGTGCTTTATTATAAGCTTAAATGGTTAAAATATAGAAATAACAGGGTAAGTGTGGTATTAGAATTAGCGAAATAAGGTGTAATGAGCCGAGATGTTTTCTTGATGGGGGTCCCATAACTATGATTGTTTAATAGCATATACAATTTATTTTTTTGTATTACAGTCCTCTTGAATAATATACATATATGTGATCCTATAGAAAAATCCTAATAAAAAATTAAAAAGAGATTCCACAAGTTTCGGATTTCAAAGCTGTGTACAAAGTGTTAAGCCACAAGGTTAGTCCATAATATTGTTGTAAAACATCGTTGGATCATGCTTCACACGTGTCTGCAGCGATTCTGTAAATATAGAGATACTCGATTTTTGTTTCTGCACATTTATTCTCTTTTAGAAATTTATAAACACTATCATACATATTGTATACAAAACAATGTGTACAAACATAAATCCTTCTCTAATGTCCTTTTCTCACATTACAGAAACTTGAAGAACAGTTTGCATTGCAATTGGAGGAGCAGGAGACGATTTATGGTCCTAGTGCGATACCGTTATGCTTGCCGGCCGATCTTCCCGATTTAACTCATCATACGACCGAATCTACGCGTAGTTCATTGTCTTCCGTAAGCGAGGGCTGAAGCTGAAGGTTTTTGAAATAAACAAGAAAGCTTGTACAAAATTTTATATATATATATATATATATATATATATATATATATATATATATATACGCATGCGTGCGTGTGATTTTAATATGACTAAACGTCACTACGAAATTGAGTAGTTTTAGTACGTTTTTGCATATCGATTATCATTATAATTAATCGTATATGTATATAATATCGCGATGAAACGTGTCCTGGAACTGAATAATTTCTATTTAAATGCGGCTATATTATTTTTATATATACATATGTGTGTGGGTGTATGTAAATTATATATATATATATATATATATATATATATATATTTCTGCAAGGAAACCGATAAACTTCTAGTTTTTATATTCTAGAATTCATTCTAAGTAAAAAAGTTCATACATATTAAATCTCATCAAATGATTTAATTACCGAGATATAAAGAACTTAATTTTTGTCAGTAATATGCTGAGCTTGTATTGTATTATGGCTCGATCTCCCGACATATCACCTCTGGACTTTTTTTTATGAGGTTATTTAAAATCTCATATATACAATAATCGTTTTTTAAATTAATAAATATTGTCTATATCCAACTATTGACGAGTTTCTAGTTTATCATTAATGTATACACGAGACTTTAAACAAGTTCACAGAAAGAAGTTCAAAGATGATAAATTACGAAATTAAGCAAATTATGATAAAGGATCAGCATTTCCGACAATAACTATCTCTTATCTTGATAACTGAATTGAATTGATCTGTATGTATGCGTGTGTATGTGCGCGCGCGCACGCGTGTGTATGAACTTTTTTTTTTGCTTAGAACCCTAAAATACATATTTACAAAAATTTGTCAGTTTCCTCGCAAAACTTCCTGTACATGTAAAATTGAGTCACTATGATAACAACGATGATGTCTAAATATTTCAAAAATTTTTACAAGTTATGTATCATTTTGTTGTTTATAATTTTTGAGTGAAATTTAGTAATAGTAATATTGCTCATGGCGTAACTTAAATAAAGTACTATTAAATTGTAAAATTACCAAATTAAGCGTCGATTTTTTGTAATAATATAAAACTTCCAAAACGAAGAATATTTTGTAAATTATCGTTACAAAAGCCAGTTTACACAATCATTTGATACTAGCAATATTTTATTCAATATGTGTGTGTGTGTGTGTGTGTGTGTGTGTGTGTGTGTGTGTGTGTGTGTGTGTGTGCGTGTGTGTGTGTGTCTGTATAGATTGTTATGTACATATAATTTATATACCACATGGTATAGCGATATACATATTGATATACTTAAATTAATCCGCCCATGATCCGACCTGATCTTGGAGTCTTATTGTAATATGAAAGACACACTCCACTGGGTATATTAAAAGTATACGTTTTGTATGTATCATACAACGTATAAAAGTTATAACTGTCGGTTAATCGATGATAACTTTAAGGAAAAAGACTAATAAAGTTATGTATGTACGTTTAGAGAATTTGTAATAATTTTACAGTTATGTACAATCCACAAGTATGTGGAATGTATATTTTCTATATTTAAAAAAAAGATGGGATTATATATATATAATCCCATCTTTTTTTTATGCATATATATATTTCCCTATATTCGCTATCACTTCAATTCGATTGTGCTGTCGGAATGTATCAGAATTTCTAATATTTGTTTTACATGTGATTATATAATAGCAGTAAAGAGAGCGCAGTATATGGCAATACAAACTGTCGAATTTGTTTTAACCGATAATGATTTTAAGATATTACCTTTACAGAATCGCTGAACTATAATACATGGTATAAATTCATGTAGTAATTTTAAGCTGTAGTCACCATGTTCGATTATAGTTGTTATTTATAAAAAAAGAAGTTTATAATAGTAACGCGAGTATTCTACTTCAGACGAATATGTTAGTAAATATCTATAAACTTGTATTACTTTGTTCCTTAAAGTTTCACTATTTCTCTATCTCTCTCTCTCCCCCCCCCCCCCCCATATACATATATTAAAATTATATTGTACAAATTGTATATTGTGTTAATGCGTGTTATTTAATTATGGTATTTGAAAAATTACAGTATATTATAAATTTTTTATATCTATATAAAATTACAATTTCTTGAAAATTATATATATATATATATATATATATATATATATATATATATATATAATTTTGTGAACGTATATATATATATATATATATATATATATATATATATATATATATATACGTTCACAATAAAATTAAAAATTTGTAAAAAAATTGTGTATCTTAAATACGATATTCTCTATTACGAGAACAAATAATCATCCTGATTATAAGGAACAAAGTAATCTGAGATTTCACATTACACTAAATGCTAAAAATCAAAGGATAAACACCAAATATATATACATTATAGGTTTGCATGATTGTAGCCTGATGACATTTTAGGGAATCTCTCTTATATAATGCATATTTAAAACGAGCATGCGTGGCTAATGCAAACTGTAGATAAATTGTGCTGTTCTACGATGTATCAGTTTGCGATATGATATGTCTCGACGTCGGGTATTTTCCTTCAAATTTTTTGATCATGTTGAAAATTAATTCTTTTTTCAACAAGAAATATCGAGATTATAAGTAAATTTTAGAATTTTAGTACAAGAATATATAACTAATGGAAAATACACGGCAGAAATGAGACATTCTTCTTTTATATTCGAGGAGTTTCGTGTATATAGAATTCTGATCGCTTAAATATTAAGAAACTGTAATCTAATATAAAAACCATCGTGTTACAGTGATCGATTAAGAGACAGATTTCTCTTTCCCTTTCTTCAATAAATACTGTGTATATCTTTTGCAACGAGAAGATTGATTTCGTGAAACAATTATATCTTATTCCTATGTCATAATGATTATTAAACAATTTTATTAATATTATTAATACTTTTTCTTATTAGTGACAATATGGAAGAATTTAAATTATCTATCATGTTAATTTATTTGTAAGAGTTTATATTAAAAATATATAAATTTCAACAACCCTCGTGTACATTTATTGGACATTGTGATTAGAAATATTTTAGATTAAGAAGTTTTGTGACAATTGGTTTTTTAGGTATATTATTAATTTTCCGAAATTAAGAATTAGAGGAAAGCAGAAAATGTATAAAATACCATATTTGTATATCTTTTAAGAGATGAAAAGTACTAGAAGTCTAAATATTTTAACTTCTCATGCATTTTATGGGATCGTATAATTTTCAATGTTAATGTAAACGGAACTTTTTTTGTAGGGAAAAAAATAACGTAAAATCTCTATCAAATAAATTGAAATATCTCGATTGAATATCCCGCCTTATAGGATTAATTCGTAATATGTACGTACGAGGACGCATTTACCTTGGCTTTTACTTTTCTATCAAAGTGTGAATGGATGGGATCTGATTGATTACGTCACCAATTCAAAATAGGACTCTCTGATTGGTTAATCGTTGCTGGTTACAGGCACAAGTCGATGTGATTGGCTGTAGTCAATCGCAACGTGGGACGATGTGAATGCGCCCTTAAGCGAGCTCGATTGATCAATGGTTGGGATTGACCAATCAGAGCAAAGCAATTTACTGGCCAGCTACTCTGATTGGTCAATTCTAATCACAATCGACTCGCATTCTATGGGTGTGTTCCAAAATTCACTGCCAGCGCTGAAAATCTATAGTTCACGTTACGTATATTATATATTTTCAGCACTGGCGGTGAATTTTGGAACATAGGCTATAGTGGCCCTACGGGCTTTAAACACATCGTGACATTTTCCCGCATCTTCTTTCCGGTTAACTTCACGGCATTGAACCATCATCGGTGAGTGAAGAGAATGTTAATCGCGTAGCATCAGACTGAAATAATGGAATATTGATTATTATTTCATGTGAACGCGAAATCGTAGAATCGTTATTAACATATTTTTCGTATATATCAAAAATTACAAAGGTATCTTTCACTTTGTATGTGCGGTGCTCGTCGTGCTCATCATAACCTAATATTTTCTTATTGTTACACTCGTTTCATTTTATTCCTTCGTTTTTTATGCTGAACTTGTGTATCTCGGTGATATTCGAGATTGTTACAATGATAATGATGTAACGTTGCAGGATCTACGAGAATGAAATACAATCGATTAGTGTCTTCCTCGCGCAGGAAGAATAGAAAGAGGCATTTCACTGCGCCTTCTCACATCAGACGACGACTTATGTCTGCTCCGTTGTCCAAGGAATTACGACAAAAGTATAATGTGCGCTCAATGCCGATTCGGAAGGATGACGAAGTGCAGGTAAGTCCATTGTAACTTTAAACTTTAACTCACTCTTTTCCTGCTTTCTCCTTTATCCATATTGGATCTTATGACAAATAATGTTATTATTGTAAACAGAATGGTCCATATTCTGAATCCTCTTTTATCGATAAAAGTGCCTCTAAAAGTGGCTTACAGCCAAACAGAAGGCTTATAAGCCACTTTTAGAGACACTTTTATCAATAAAAGAGGATTCAGAATATGGACCATTCTGTTTACAATAATAACATTATTTGTCAAAATGTTGATACTCTCTTTATATAAAGTATCATTATGTACATACATATGCATTAAACAATATATATTGCAATACTAATACATATGAATTAAACCTTGGTTTGTGAATATATCTTTTATATGTTACTCAAATTATCCAACATTTATCAAGTGACTATAATTTAGCCTATTAATCTACCAAAACAATGTAAATAAAAGAAGGTTGCTGGATTTTCATAATTAAAAGATCTGAGACCATGTGTAAAAATATTTTAAATATATAAAAAATAGGAAAAAAAATAGTTATTTATGTGACATGTATCTTAAAGGTCGTACGTGGCCACTACAAGGGTCAGCAAGTAGGAAAAGTTGTCCAAGTTTACAGAAAAAAATTTGTCATATACATTGAGCGAATTCAGCGCGAAAAGGCAAACAGTGCAAATGTATATGTCGGCATTGATCCTTCCAAAGTAAGTACAATTATGGTATAATTAATAACTATGTATATATTGAATAGACCTATATTTCTTCATACTTTGTACATGATGAATTAAACCAAATCCATTCACATAGGATTAGATAAATAGCTCGACTTGAAAACTTTGTGCAGGGTTTTCCTGTATATTTGTCGACAAGTTTTGCTTCATCTAATCAATGCAGAAAATTGGCACTGATAGTATAAATAGTTTTCTTTAATTTTATAAATTCTCTTTTTCACATGCAAAAACAATTATTGTTTAATTTTTTCAGACAGTTATTGTAAAATTAAAAATGGATAAAGACCGTAAGAAGATTATCGATAGGCGAAGTAAGGGTAGACTGGCTGCATTGGGCAAGGATAAAGGCAAATATACAGAAGAAACAGCAGCAATGGAAACGTCATAAATTTTGATTTATTCTCCTATGTACAACAATAAAATGTCAAAAAACAAAATTTGCAAGTTTTGCAGAAAAACCCTTATATTTTATACTAAAATGCTTCTTATACGTTACACGCAAGAACTAGAAATACATGCTTAGATAAAAATATAAATGTTTATATTGAAGAGTAGAGAGAACTCCACCTCTGCGCGCGTATTGTCATAAAATAAAATTTATTATTATTTATTATTAGATTGTGCTTTTCACAAAATAGTTCTCTATAAACAATAATGCGTGATACTTTTTCTCTTTTCCATCTTATTGCTTCGAAATCGCAAGCGCTCGCAAAATATGTAGGAATAAATTAATGATGTCCAAATAAATATTAATCGTCGCCAAGATATATTCTTCGGGCGAAAGAGACTGCATTATTGCTTGTGTGTCGAAAACTATAAACAGACAGAACAATAATGCACCTCCGATACTGATACCTAACTCCAGTGCAGTGTTCTCCAATACAAATGTTTGTATTAAGCCACCAATCAAAAGGCACCAGAGCCCAATGAATAATCTGTAAAATAAAGGAAGAAGTAGAACTGTGAAATCAAAAATAAAATAACAATAAAAAAATATACTAACCCGAATCCGAGAAACGAGAAGTCTCGTTTAGTTTGGAAAGTATAAGCTGTCAAACCGAGTAAAACTGTCAGTGTTATAAAGAGAGCTTCCAAGACTATTGTGGTATCGTACATAGATACTACAACTCCCACAGTATATGCCTGTGCCAATGTCTGCAATATCCAAAATTTTATAAATGCCATATATAACAAAGTAAACAATAATTATGTGTGCAAGCTAAACAATAAACAATAATTAATCTTTCCTTATACTTACAAATGCACTTAAGAGAATTAAGTTAGCAGGATGATCTTTTCTCTTTATTAGCAGGCCAATTAAAATTCCCATTGTCAAGAAAAATGCTAAACCTATAGTCCATGGGCTAAATAATAAATAAGCAGATTAATACTTTTATATATATATATATATATATATATATATATATGTATATAAAATTAAAATAAATATTTAAAGGAAGTGTCTTACTTATCTTGTACGTATAATTTTACAGTTGAGCTCATTACAAATACCGAAGCCACCACAACTGTCATCAAGAGCTGAATGCTTAATAAACCATAAACCTTTCGTAAAAAGCCTACACAAGTCATAATGTTATTTCACAATTAGTGAATATTGGATAATATGCGATATTCTAGATTTATAAATAATTATAATATCAAAAGAAACATGTCACTATAATATCAATATAATAATGCCATTACATATGTTATTTTATATGTTAATTTTAAATTTATATAACATTACATGCAATTACCCATTCGTATATTGATATCTGCATTATGTACATTATTCCTGTATGCAAAATCACTTTGTATTTCAGGTTCAGATTGTTCCTTGCCACCTCGTTCAACATCTTCTTCGATCAACATTAACGGTACAGTAGCCATATTCTCTTTATGTCTCTGACAATAAACAATTTGAAACAACATTAACAAATTTAATCATTTTCAAAGGGGAAATAATAACTAGATTTATACACCATGCGTAAAATATTATTCAAACAAAACGATATACTTATACGTATGCTGATACATATAATAGAGAAAGATTAAATAATGTGCTTTATTCTTGAATCAAATTTTATGATAAATTTCTCTCTTTTTCAATATGTCACACGTCGGAAATTTTTTTCAAAATCAATTCAATTATACACGTTTACAAAAAATACATACTTGGATTTCCTTGGAAGCTCTGAAGAGCGAAATTGAAATTGCGAAATTAAATTTACAATCTGTTTCGACAAGTGTCAATTGATGTCAGTTATTATACATAAAATCATTATACGTAAAATCGATCAAATGAAAGCAAGTATACGTATATATCATAAAACTTCCCCTTATGTATGATCATAGAGTATCACCCTAAAGCCTGGTACAGACGCGTCAAGCAGCGAGCAGCAAACCAATCAGCGAGCAATGTCAGCAGTGGCATAGAAAATATCGCCTCGCTGATTGGTTTGCTGCGCTAAATGCGGCCAATGGCAGTTCTCATTCCAGTTATGTATAGTTATATTTAGGCTGCGGTCGGGAAGACGCTCTGGATGCTTTGAAACATCATTCTATCTTTGTTCTACATTCCATGAGAATAAAGATAGAATGATGTTTCAAAGCATCCAGAGCGTCTTCCCGATCGCAGCCTTAGTTCAGTGTCAGTCCAGATATTTCTCACATCGTGCCTGTGATGATTACAGTGCCATCTGGAGAGAATAAATTTGACAGGTAAAAGATGGAAAGTTCAAACAAGGACTTTATTCGGCCAAATTAAATGAAAGTAAAAACGGCAAAAGATAAATATAATTATTTTATTCACAGAGATGTAACTTTTTAAATTTATAGTTTGAGTCTCATTTATACTTTGCAAATACGTAGTTTTTGAATCTATAACATAAATGTTTGCAACAAGATTAATAATATAACCTCTTTGGTTTATAAAATCACTTTTTTTAAATATTGTTTATTCTAAGAAATTCACTTTGAAAAATACCATTGTTAATTATCCTTATCTCTATCCTTATATACCTTAATTAATTTCAAGTTTTATTTCATTCAATTAAAAAATTTTAAAAATTAAATAGCATGGGACGAAGCCGCACACCGTCGCCAGGAAGACGAAGGGATCGATCCCGAGAACGAGATCGTGACAGAGATCGACGAAGAAGACGGTCGCGAGAGAGAAGACGAAGGTAAACTTAAAACAAAGAAAATGTATATAGTTCATAAAAGAAATTAATTTTCCAATTACTTTTAGGTCTGTAGAACGAGACAGAGTAAAGTCCAGGGACAGAGATAGGGAACGAGAACGTGAACGAGACAGACACAGAAGATCATACACTAGATCCAGATCGAGAGAACGTGATAGATCAAAACACAGATCGAAACCAAAATCGACAAATGAACGGCCCGTTATCACAGGTTAGATACATTTAACAAGTCTATGTTTGAAAAATAGTGTAAAAATATCTTGTTGTGCTGTTTGAATTAAATAAATCCAAATAGGCTTATGAACTTATCAAGACAAATTTACATATTTATCATGTGACACTATATAATTATATATTGTAGAAGCGGATCTCCAAGGCAAAACTCCAGAAGAACAAGAAATGATGAGAATAATGGGATTTTGCGACTTTGACAGTACTAAAGGCAAAAAAGTGGATGGAAATGATGTAGGTGCTGTTCATGTTATTTTGAAAAGAAAATACAGGCAATATATGAACAGAAAAGGTGGATTTAATCGACCTCTGGATTTTGTCGCATAATCCTCAAAACGGTTTTAAGCGACAAATTTCTTATGAAAGAGGAACATTACTCTTCAAAGAGAAGTGGATAAATGAGTAGACTATAATTCTACAATTAATGTGATAATTAACAAGTTATCATACTTCATAAATAAAACATTATGTATAATATATAATAACAAGTGTTTATACTTAATAAATATGCTAATTTGTTTATATTAATGGCTGATGTGAAGATCTACATTAAAAAAAGAAAAAGTAATAATATCAAGAGAATCTAATTTTATATAATTCCAAAATAACTTGATGCATAAGACACACTCTTAATCTTAACACTTATTGCTTTAGAATTTTTATAATCTTCTGGATCGTTTTGAAGCCGGTGATTTTGTAGAGACTTCCGTAGATACAGTATTTATCCTAGATTGTTTTGAAGATTGTGATTCTACGGATGATTCCATAGACACATTATTTATATCGGCATTATATGAATTTTGACTACGACGAGAATTTTGTGTATCCAGCTATTTGAAAAACATAAAACTTAACAAGAGGACCTTAAATAATATTAAGTTTTTTGAATTCTTACCATGCTTATATTCATCTTTTCCAAAGCTTCTGTCAACTGCGTATTCCTTATACGAAAATCTCGAGTTACGCTATGCTTTACGTAAGTCTCAAGTGGCACCTATAATCAATTATAAATTATAAATTAATGTATGTATTGCACACTTGCTTTTATTAATATAGATTCATATCATATATCTATGCTCACATTAATTTCTTAAATGCAATACTTACGCCAGTCTTTTTGTCAAGTGATAAAATTTCTTTATGAAATTGTTCAATTTCGTATATCACACAGGGTATAATCTTGGTCTCTTTCAAAATCTTGTTTCTTTGCACATGTGAATCAGCTTTCGACTTTGATGCATTTTGAGTTTCCTACATTATACAAGAAATATATATAATTTTCATATAATGAGATAAAATTATATTTTACAGATGAATACCTCGGTATGTGTTATTAAATTATAAAATGCAGATTTTAATGGTTTCCCGGCCGATTGAATTACTTGAATAAATCTGAAATCGCATAAAAAATTAAACAAAATTGGATATATAAAACTCGCTATTTATAATAATAAGCCTGAAGCTTCATTTGTAAGAATCTTACTTGACCGATTGAAATGCTGCGTTTTGCTTATTAGATTTTCCATAGAAATATTTTGTCAGATTACTAAGTATGTTGTACAAAACCTGCAAGTTTTTGAACATAAAGTCTGTGGATAGTCCTGGTTTAATAGCGACATTGGCTAACGTATAAAGTATTTGTATAATGTGCGACAATTGTCTACATAAACTACGTTCTTGTGTTTTCAGCTTTTCTTGATCTGTATATTTGAGGGGATTTTTATATTATTACATGTCAAAGAATATTAAACAAATATATCAAATAATATTAAATTAAATAATAAATCAACCTAACCAAAAGTTAAATACACATACGTGCTTCGAGATCTTCACCGGGCGGACAGACTATATTTTGCTCAGCCTTCAGCCGCATCAGTAACCAAGATACATTGTCCAATTTCTCTTTTACTGAACCGTTTACCAAATTGTAAAGCTGTACTGCTGTATCTTCGTGAATAATTTTTAATTTATTATTTTCCGATAGTTCAGCCTACAAATATTAAGGAATCTTTATATTTCTTTGTGTATAATACCAATAAGATGCGCATTACAGATAGAATATTACAATATATATTGTATACTAATCATATGTATATACCTGATCGATTTTACCCACTTTCTCGCACAATGCAAGAGAAATATCAATTAATAATTCGCTATATTCTCTATTACGTTCTTCAATGTATAACAGAATTTGAAAAATAGTTAAAGAAGCTTGAGGATCCATTTCTTCAAATTGTGTAAATCTCATTATCGAATCGAATACCTTATAGAACAGATAATATTTTATATCCTATTCATTTCTAATTTAGTGATTATTGATTACAGAAAAAATATTAACTTTATCAGCATTTGTCTCGTGAAAATTGATCTCTTTGGTTAATTGATACATAATGTCCAACAATATACCAAATATCTTTTTGGAATTCTCTTCATGTTCATCCTTTTTGCTAAAAAATGTCTGAAAACTCACTCTTAAAGTAGCAATCATGCTCTCTAATTGCGCATTAAGATCTTCGGACTGAGTTAGTCTAACAGCTATAAAAAAAGAAAAACAGAAAAAAGAAGAAAGAATTACATATACATATGCATGCATGCACACATACATACATACACGCGCGCGCGCGTGAGAAAATGCTCCTTTTTAGAGATATTTTGGATACTTACGAATAATAATATTGAGAAATTTTGGCAACTCAGAAGTGAAGCACGTGCAAATTAAACAACATAGTTCTCTAAAACATTCCAATGCCAATATAGTGCCTTGTTCGTTTGTATCAAGCATTTTCTTTAAATCCGATACAATATAATCATACAATAATCTGTATATTAAAAAAAGGATTTAGGATTCGCAAAAAATATGAATATCTCATATATATTTACAAAAGTTTCTTACTTTCCAATGTCAAAGTAAATCTTTATGTGTTGCTCTTTGTGTTTTCGTAAATTATATTCTGTCAAGTGTTTAACATTTTGTAAGATTTGCAGCAGTGTTTGTAAAATGTAATGGTAGAAATCATCATGTTCTACCAATATAGCTACTTGATCCGCAGTTGCCCAAGGAACAGATTTTCTATTGTGGTAAAATTATAATTGGTATTTATCAATTATATGTATAATCGAAAGATACTTACAAATAGAAGAGCGATAGACTTTTGTACACTGAAGACAGATCCAAAATGCTAGGTAATAGTTTTATGTTCCTCGATCGTACAGTTTTTTTTGCGATTATATTATTCGTATCATTTTGTGATTTTTTATTTCTTCCGTCTCCTTTTTTATTAATCTTTGATACGCGCTACGAGGGCAAAAATAAATTTTACATTCAACTCAAAATGTATATTATACTTTTATTCCTTTTCTTTTACATGTCATATATATACTTTTATTACCTTGGTACATTCTACTATTCGTGTGTATCCCTTGAATAGACTTTTAACACTCTGTGCGGTATCTATACAATTTACGGACCATGCGCCGATCCTAAATGATATGAGAGCTTCATAAATTTTGATCGTTAACAAAACATTTTGCAATTTTTCTTGGTTCTTGATGCCAGAGTTGCTTAAATCAAGTTTATCATCCTAATAAGAAAATGATTGAAGATTAAATAATTATAAATAATATTTCAAATTTTATTAAATCTAATCTTCTCTCCATTAAACTTACCAAGTTTAAATCTTCTACATCAAGTCGTGACATTCGCCTGCACAGAGATTCCAAAATCACAGCCAGCTCATCTACAAGGCTTGATTTTACTAGAGCCGACTTGATATAAATTTTTTGCAATATAAATATTAATTCCGCGAGAGGTTCCTGTAATATAATTTCCTCCCCTTGTGCAACTGTACACAGTTCCAATTTAACTGGTGCTCTAACATTCTCATCCATTTCAAAGAACATTTTAAAATGCGGCAGCAACATTTCCAATACATATTCTGCTATCTCACTATTTGTCAATACAGCTTCATATAAACCTAAGCAATCCAACAAAATTAATAATTAGATATATAATGTGAAACAAAAAATGCATAATAATCCTTCATTTTGCATACCATTGTATAAATGTACTCGAACTTCCCATTCATGAGTGAAACATCTTCCCAAAATACCCAATATGTCATAATATAAACTTCTATTGTAAGAAGATTTCATTACTTGTTGAGTGCCTCTTTCTAATGTTACCTGCAAAACAAAGGATCTTATAGAGTAATTTTAAGCATTTACTATAAGTTTTACAGTAATAAATTAATAATTTAGCAATCAATAAACTAATAATTTAATAATTATTAGTGAATTAATAAATGTGTAAGTTAATAAAAACCTGCGTCAGAACGGATGCGGAACTGGTGCCAGTCGACGAAGAGTTGTTAATATATTGACTCGAGTTCATCGCGAGGCCGTTTAAAGAGTGCATCTTCAAATTCTTCAGTATTTCTAAAATCCCACTCACTGCCATTTGCCGATTTACCGCACCCTTTCTATAAAGAGTCTTCCTCAATGTTATGATCAAATGTTCTCTTATTGTAACCGAGACTTTTATCAACGAAAATATTGCAGAAATGATGAAAATGGCAATCTCTCCGGGTATAAATGTAATTTGATCGAGAAAAGTTATCAGAGAATCTTGATGGTCCAACATAAGAACTGTTAACTTTTGGCACATGTATGCTAAACAATCTACAAACAATCGGTATATCAGTAATGGCTGTTAATTCTTAACTAATAAATTCTAATTAATTCTAATTAATTCTAATTAATTCTAATTAATTCTTAAAAATTCTTCTAATTAATTCTTAAAAATTGCAACTAATATATTATATTTTAATGTGACAGAATATTTAAAAGTTATACCGGTATATTGAGAAATATACAGTCCACCTGCAATAATTTTATCAAGCAACATTTGGAATACAGTCGCTACCGTTTCATGATGTTTTCTCATGATTTTTTGAAGTATCTTTATACCAACTTGCCATAAAGGATGCGCACCAGTTTTTGACTTATTCTCCAGAGCCATAAGAACAAATGCGAGATCCACAAGCCCTTTCAGTACTAAATGGCGATCTCTATCACTACATATTAAAAGAAAAAAAGTTTAATATTAAATTATCGTTGATACATATTTATGCTAAATATTTACCTTGTGTCGATGACATTTCCTATTATAGTCATTATACTACAAGAATCGGGAATCAGATTTCTCAACCAAGCGTTATTCTTCCGTCTATCATCATTCTCCTTTCGTTTATTAATGATTGTTCGTAGCATTTCAAAAATCTATAATGTATATATTGAGTTTGTTCGCGTTAATGTCAAAAGCATAAGCATTAAAATGTAGAAAAATTGATGTATTAATTGATGACCTGTTTTTCATCAATAGAAGCAACTGTAAGTAATACAGAAAGCATAAAAGGTTCTAATACAGCTTCAGGAACATGAGTTACGCTTTTGAAATATTTAATATAATCTCTTATAAGCTGGTGATTTAATTGTGCCGCTTGATATATGTGATACAATACTGTACTTTCAATATCTTGGACTTCCCTAGGATTTATCATACCTGTGATTCAGCAATTAAAAATTAAAATTAATGAGATTAAAATAAAAAAAGCAATATGTTTCAAATTAATTTTTATAGATTAGAACTAAATTCTTTCTTAAGCTTTATGTGTATATATATATATATATATATATATATATATATTTCAAATTATTAAATACCAAATCTTCTTACCTATAGTCTCAAAAGTATCAACGCTGTCAGAATTAGCCTGTGAGAAACATTGTGCAAAATATCTTCGTAAAGCTTCCAAGAGAAGTTTACTGTCTTGATTGGTACATAATCTTAATGATTGATGCACAAAAGGAGGTACCTCCTCCAGAGGTATATTCTGCATTCTTGTACAGAGTACTGTAATCACTGTAGTATGATCCTCCTTTTGTAAGCTTATATCTCTTAAGTACAGAAAAGTTATATAAATTTGATTACTACACATGTACATTTTAATGAAAGAAAAAAAATCATAAATATATTTACCTGAACATTTTTGTCAACGAAGGCATTATCTCTGTATTCCATTCGCTGTTGCATATATTGTTAACGATAATAGATTTATATTTAGAACCAGAAACTTCGCCATTCATGTAATTAATGCATTTCTCTTCTTCCAATACTTCCAACAGAATAGGCAACAAATCTTTCCAGCTAAAAACAATATTTGATGAAATCAGAATTGATCATATATATATGTAATTAGGGATATATATGTGTGTGTGTGTGTGTGTGTGTGTGTGTGTGTGTGTGTGTGTGTATGTATATATAGAACATTAAGAACATTAAGAAAATATATATGCAAGTATATCTTTCATATACCTTCTAAACTCATCTTCATTATTACGAATTCTAGCAAGACAGAAATCTACTAGTTTAATTAAATGCAATTTTGGATAGTTTGGAAAATCTTCTACTATTCGAGTTACGATATCGTTTACATAATTAATTGAAACTTTGGCTTTGCCTAAAGTTTTCAATACAGACTCTACCAATTTAAGTCTCTTTGAATATAATTTTTCCGATTCCAAGCACGCCTGAAGAACCTCGTCTAATACCTTAGAAGTGACTGGGTCGCAAATTTCGCTCGATATTAATTTTATAAGCTGAAACGAAAACTCGACATTGTTACATATAATACTCGCAAAAATGATAAGGCGCGCCTTTATCATTCTAAAACTACTTTACCTCCTCGGTCGATGTTTCGTGTATAAATTCATATAGTCGCTTTCGATCTTTTTGATTAATCAGACTATTAAGTTTTGCACTCATCTTGTATATATGTTCGATATAAATTGGCAGTGCAATATATAATATTCTATTTCTACGCGCAAATCGGCAAATATACGTGCGTTCTTCCTCTTGTCGTTTCTTCAATAATGAACAATATTTCCCGCTCTTGCAATCACGAAGACAGGGGGTCTGTTCTTTTCAGCTGTACTACTGCACTAGTGCAATAAGTTAGAAAGAGACAAACATACTTTCTTTCACTCTAACTAATTGCACTAGTGCAGCAGTGCAGCTGAAAAGAACAGACCCTATTCTTTACAGCTGAACTGGCGGCACTGAGCTGCACTAGTTTAGAGGTTATCTTTTTCCTCTCAATATAGAGTAAAAAGGATAACCTCTGAACTAGTGCAGTCCAGTGCAGACAGTTCGGCTGATGGCAGAGAACTAGATGTCTGTCGTAGTCGTGGACGTAAAGTAAGGCAGAGAAAAACGTATGTCGTACAAGGTCATTGTCACAATGGCCTTGTACGACATACGTTTTTCTCTGCCTTACTTTACGTCCACGACTACGACAGACATCTAGTTCTCTGCCATCAGCCTTACTTTACGTCCACGACTACGACAGACATCTAGTTCTCTGCCATCAGCCTTCAGCTATAAAGAACAGACCTTTGGTCTTACCCATAGACATATATAATATAGACCCAGCGTTCTGTGAGTGGAATTGTCCGCGTCTTCTAAAGGACAAAACGATATGGAGTAAAATGCTGTCTCCGCCGGTCTGGAGGGGAAACTTAGAGGAGAGATTATTTTTGAAATAATCAACCATGATTAGTCAATTTGCCTACGACTTACGATACGATCAATGTAGATCCGGCTTTACACAATGCTAGGCAACAGGCATAAAAACAGAAATAGTATCTATTCTCTGCTCATATTGGCGAATATTTTCTGTTCCGTGTATTTATTGGTAAATAGTTTCTATTCCTTATTTCTATTGCCTGTTGCCTAGTATTGTGCAAGGGGCTTAAAGCGTCGTCTACAATCAGATTTTAAGAAGACTTAAGGCGTAAAACTTAAAAAATTGACCAATCACAATCGAATATTCTCTTAATACTTGACTGTGATTGGTCAATTTCTTAAGGCCTTTGCACGTACAAAAATTTTAGTCGTAACCGTAAGATCGTAAGAAAACTGATCACAGTTGATTATTCTTTTATTGCAGAAAGAATACTCGACTATGATTTGTCAGTTTTCTTACGACCTTACGTTTACGACTAAAATTTTTGTACATGCAAAGGCCTTTAAGTCTTCCGCCTTAAGGCCTGTTCTACAATGAGTCGTAAGTCGTAAGTCAAATTGATCAATCATGGTCAATTATTATTTTTGAAATAATCAACCATGATTGGTCAATTTGCCTATGACTTACGATTTACAACTCATTGTAGAACGGGCCGAAGTAGAGAACCTCTAGGAGAGAGAATGGACAACTGATCATGTGACATGTGATCAAGCTTTTTCATGATTGGCTGGCAGAAAATGTATCAATTTTAGCTATTGCGACGCCAATGCAAAATATGATGCACACAAATAGGTTAATATATGTGTGTCATGTGTGTCCTATTTGTGTGTCATCATATTTTGCATTGGCGTCGCAATAGCTAAAATTGATACATTTTCTGCCAGCCAATCATGAAAAAGCTTGATCAGTTGTCCATTCTCTCTCCTAGAGGTTCTCTAGGCCGAAGTCTCCTTAAAATCTTATTGTAGACGATGCTTTAGTTTAATGGCACGAATATCTTATTTAAAAGATGGCGGATGACGATGTGAATGGAGATTCTGACGATGTACAGCAAGAAAAATCTCAGAAGAAAGCAGCCAAGTATGACAGTGGCGCGGCGGATTTGGAGAAGGTGACCGATTACGCCGAGGAAAAGGAGATTTCATCCTCCGATGGGTTTTCTTGTGTAAGCATGGGTTCTTATGTTTACACGTGCATCCTCGATCGCACGTTTACTTTTTTTTTCATAAGTTTAAAGTTAGAACGAAATAATTTCCCAAAGTCACTACATTTTTATTTAATAGAGTTTTTATCATTACATTTTTATTTACTGATTTTTAAGATTTAAAGTTGTGTATCTTAAAAGAAAGACAAAGAAGCCCAATCGAAAATATCTCCCAAGATAGAGATAAATTAAAGTGTAACTTGGTCTAAATATAAAATTTCGTTTATAGTTTTGTTCTTTTCATATATACCGAGTTAATTTTGATTTTCACATTAAGAATGTCTAACAGGCTCTGAGTATAATTGGTGATCGCCGAGATAAGGAAGCTGCAGAAAAGAAGGCCAAGGAAAAGGAGCTGCTCAAGGTATCCATAAAAAAGGAAGATGTCGATTTAATTGTAAGTATAAAATTGTTCTACATATTTTATGTGATTATTAGAAAATTGACAAATTAAAGAAACTCATCATTGTTTCAGATGAGAGAGATGGAGATCAATCGAGTTTTAGCAGAACAGACGCTTAGGGAACACAGAGGAGATGTTGTAGAAGCATTAGTTACATTAACTAATTGATATTGTATAGAAATATTGAATATTCTGACATTCATAAAACTTTAAATTCCACTGGAAATTATATAACTTTAGAAGATTTTGATTATAAACCTTTGATTATTTTTATTAACATGTATTATGTATAATATCTGTAAATTTTCTTTATTCTCATTTGCCTCTATAAAGAAATTTCTTTACATTTGCATCTATAAAAACATGGGCTCATTTATATACATTTATAGAGAATATTTATTAAAGATAATACTTGCCAGAATTTAATGAGACGAATGATTTTGTGATTATCAGTGTATAGAAAGTATCTGTTTCTCTTTGAAGTCCCTGATTAAGTATGTTATCAGACATCCATATTGATAAGATTGATAGTATGGGCATAAATGTCATACTTTAAGCAGTACAAAGTCAGAAGTACATTTGTATTGAATGTGGCCATTGGTTTTATCTTAATGTTTGCTTTGAAACGCGAGTGCTTTTGTCTGTATAGCAATATTGTATTTTACATCAATCAATTATATCAAATTATGATTTATTGTAGATTATGCTAGTGTAAACAATATTTGTACAGACCTAAATGGCTGCTCACTCATCTATATATAAGTATGATGTCATAAAGGCGTTGTTATTGCGATACTTATATTTTTATATTGCAATATTTGTATGTCCAGTCAAAAGTTTAGGTATGTGACAGTCTTTGTATTTTCATATACTAGATGCATATAATTTTATTTTTATTTTTCCGTCATTATCTTTAATATGCTACAACAGTGTAAGTGAGTCGTTATATGTATATACCAATATAGAAAATACTGATTGAAATTATTGACTTTTTGAACATGATATATCTCTAAGTTATACACACACACACACACACATATATATGTATATATATATATATATATATATATATATATATATATATACACTATATCGTAATCTACAATATAAAAAAATATATTTTAATAGATTTAGATACTTTCTGCGAGATTAGTGATAGATACATTGGTTTGGAGAATTGTACTCAATGTAATGTCAAGTTAAAAACGTGTGCTTGCTGGGAGAACCTTGGTGAGTTTAAAACTTTTGCACGTACAAAGTTTTTTCAATTTTTTTATTACTTATTACGTATTGCATTATTTTTCTTTCTTGCTTTTTGCAGACAGATGTATAATCTACTGCCCTGGTATTTCATGCTGTTCCTGCTATGATTGCACTCTATGCTGGTAAGAGAAGTACATTACATACTATTCTATAATATACCTTGCATCTCTTGTAAATATCAGGATCAATTTTTCGAAGTGGACATTTCTTTTACTTTAGGAAAGATCAACGGCGATTGATAATAATGATGCAGATTGGTATTTTCATATTGTTTGGATTAGGTCTTATCGGTTTAATCATAATTTACTGCAAAACATGCAATAGGTATGAATAGCACATTTGATAAATCCATCTTTCTAAGCTTCTCACGTTCTTGCTATCATTACTCGTGTATGTGTGTATATATATATATATAAAGTAACTGTGATTTTATCGTAACACGGAATCGACGGCATCAGAATAAAAAAACATTGTAGTTGTGTGCACATTGTTGAACATTTTAGTATTAAAGAGTTATATATTTTTCAATATTTTTTTTCAATAGTAAGATTTTCTTCGCATGTTTTATTCCACAGTTTCTGAATAATTTTGATTTTTCTCATCAAATGTCAAAGATAAAATAATGTTTGCTGAAAGGTTAAATTAATTCTGCAAGACAAAACATTTTAACATCTTGATTTTCACAGGACGAGGCAAGCTATCACACGCACAAGATGTATCGTGTTGCGGGAGGAACGTGATACACATTGCAGTACTATCGAAGGTCTACGAGATCGACCACCTCCGTATAACGAAACGCTTTATAGCGCTCCTCCTCTTTACACATCTCCCTACAACAGAGTACATAAATTATGTTTTTAATTATAAGAAAAATATGTGTGTACATGTTTTTGCGACTTACCACGATATGACGAAAAATAAATGTTAAAATGTTTCCCAATGAAAATGATGTTTTTTGCAGGCGTCCATGCAGGAAGCTCCGCCATCGTATCCAGGAACGCCGAAACTGCAAGAGAGATGCCAAGACACCAACGATCAATTGCCGTCAAGACATTCCATGTTCGTTGCTGCATCCATCGCCCAACACATGTAATAACGTCACATTTGTGTGTATATACATATATATATATATATATATATATATATATATATATATATCTACATGTCACTATATACCATTTTAATAAAAAAAATATGTAGCCTATAGATTCATCTCAAAAGAAATTCTCTGCTCTTGTTGTTTTGATATAAAGCAAGATTATTAATCGTGTCCGGAGACTGAGAGATTCTTAAATTACAATGTCATTTTTTTTTTAAACACTCAAATTTTTCAAGATTCTATTTTTATACTTTTTTTGTATCTAATCATAAGATAAAAAATTGCAGTTTTTTCTTTCTTGAATAAAGATATAGTAACATTGCAACATTGCAACGATGGAGGGTGATAAAAATTACGCTCCATGATTATATAATGAAAATGTCATTTATTTGATGTGGTGCAATGACTTAAAGTAAAATGGAAAATGAATGTCTGTATGAGCTGGGTTTAATGAATGGCGCGCGCATAACAATTTCTCAGAAATCAACCACTATCGCCGCCACCATTCATCATTTTACAAAACAGCGCTTCGCATTTTTAAATGCAATATACAATGGAAAGGTTCATATGTCATATACATGTATGTGTGTGTACGCGCGCGCGCGCGCGTGTGTGTGTGTGTCAGAGAGCGGGCGTGCGGTAGCGGCTAATAGTAGGTAGCGGATGGTGATCGATGGTGGTCGCCAACACGCGCCGGCTTTCATCATGATGAGGTAACACTTGTCTCTTACTTGTACTTAATAGTTTATCAAATTATATATCCAGTCATACATTCATATTCTTGCGATTCTTACACGCGGAATTGCGCCTACATTTGTGTTTTTTTTTTCTTTGATCTATATTTTACGCATTTGTTATTTTATTATCGAAATTTGCTTTTGCTCTCCATTTTTCTTTCGTTTCTCTTTTTCTTTCTTCCCTAGAAAAAGATATTCGCAACGGGATACGTGTACTCCACGAAAGAAATCGCCGCACAGTCCCAAAGGTAGATATGAGAATTAGATAATAGTCGCAGATTTTTAAAATATGAGTGAGTAACGGCCAAAATCTGTTCCTTAAATTGCTGCCATACTTGCATTCATTTCTTATTTCGCTTCTCACTTGTCTTTTTTGCTAAGATTCGAATAAAGAGATTGACGTAGAAAAACAGTGAGAAAGTTCTCTTAACTAAATTTTCATTCTCAATTCATTTCTTTGGCGCAATCATATTATTTGTGTGATTTCGCTACAATAAATATGAATATATTTTCTAATCTGTATCAATTTTTGTCATATTATATTTAATTGAAATATTGGTAGTGCGTTCAAGGAACATGAATTTAGTGCGATCTGTAAAATCAAAATAAATTATATGCACATTGATTATTGTACGATTTCGTAAAAGTATGGAAAGATTTTTTTTTCGTATATAGAGATTTGCGTTCAGTTCTTATATAAAATACACAGTAGATATGTACAGTGTGTAAAAATCTTAAAATCGAGAGTGACGCGCTAAATTTGGGACTGTCCGGATAACGACTATCGCTTATTATATCGTATTTTGTGTAACAAGTAAATATTCACTGGCTGCCAGGATCGTCAGGGAAAATCTGTCTCTAAAAAGGATTGATTACACACAATTGCAGTAATTACAGTGGTCTTATCACAGAACATGTATGGCATTAATCGTCATCATTAATGATGTGTAAATGGTAATAAGCATTTCACATTCATATTTAAAACTCGGATTCTCTCTCGGTAAAGCTAAAAAGATCGGAGGATCAGGAAGCCAGTACTAAACAATTGATTATTATTTTTGCCTCTTGTGTGGTTGCCCATAATTCAGTTCATTAATCGTACATAATTTTACAGCCCAATCAAATGAATGAGACGAAGAAAATTAAGAAAAACGAAAATTATCAACGACGCGCTATATGAATTAATCAACGTTTATTTATTTTCCATAATTCCTTTAATCCGATTCGTTTTTTCCTCTCGTCCATTTGCAATTGCAAATTATAAATTCAGATTGCGGATTGCGTAATATTTCTAAAATAATGCAACCAACGTGCGCGCAGAAATGTGGACATTCCCGCGATATTCAACATAGATCCGATAAATTATGGACAACCCTAAATTTAATAACATAATCATTAATAATAATAATAATAATAATAATAATAATAATAATAATAATAATAGTAATAGTAATAATAATAATTCGATTCTACATTTCGCTTACAGTATGCAATACTTCAGAAAACAAGACAAACTATCTATCGACGGGGACGCGGGAGGACAAAGGGAAATAAGAAATTGGAATATGGTCTATCGCCGTAAAAAGAGAGGGAGGAAAAGGGGCAAAAAGGAAAGATTATTTTTATATTTGTAGAGAAAAAATATACAAAAATACACAGGACACGGATTGCGTAACGTTAAAGTAGTAATATAGTAGTAGTAATAATAATAGTAATAATAATAATAATAATAATAATAATAATAATAATAATAATAATAATAATAATAATAATAATAGTAATAATAATAATAACCATACATATATATGTTTCAGAGAAAGAGATCATAAAAAAGAACACTAACTAGAATGATTTCTCCGTCTTGGAAGAGTTTGAGACGCGCTAGAGAATTTAAAAAATCACTACTATTGGTAGAAACAAAGTATCTAATTTTCATCGTGCTGCTCAACGTGTCGAACGAACGGCGCCACGGGAACATTCCCCATTGACCCCATTGACCCTTCTCTTTTCTTTCTTTCGACAAAGGAACAAAATATTTAAATCGTCTGCCGACGTCTATTATCACAACTCCCTTCGTGCATCGCGTTTTGTTGTCGCGGCAATAAAATTTATAGTGACGAGCCACGCGGAGAGAAACTCCTCCGCTTTCTTGGTCCTCTCTGGCAATAAAACTCTTTAACGTCTCGCGCGCGGTCATGCACTTCCATTTCGTTTGTTCGTTGGTAACGAAAACGAAAGCGAATCCACAATGATGGTGATGACGTTCCTGACGACACTGCGTTCCCATTGCGTCACTGAGAACTGATCGATTAGAATCAGCATTGGGCGTTGAAGAAAAATGAATGCGTTGCCGCCTGATCACTCACAGTGCCATGATGAAATCGACTCGCGTCACAGGCCGGTAGGACAAGGTATGATACGTCTGCTGGTGGGATGTGAAGACGTGAGTGTGAGTGTGCAGATTTTCAGAGATGTTTTTCTCCTCTTCGACGCGCGGCACTGATGGTGTGGTCGTCATCATACCGCGAGTTCTTTTCACTACCGACACTCACTTGAACACAAGAATCTGGACACACGACGTGTATGGGAATGCGCCTTTTTAAACTCGCCCTCGACCGATCGGACAGACCACCAGACAGATCTTCTCTTCCGCCCGACGATCGATCTCTAGACATTCTTGACCAAAGGTCGTAGACAGTCGGTTGGTTTTCGCGTCGGTAATTGATTTTTTTTTCTTTTTTCTTTTTTCTTTTTAGACCAAAGAGTGGCGCAACTAGGAAACATTTATTTAGCACTACTATTATACTTTGTTATATCACTGTACACAAAGGTTCAAGAGGGATGTAAAAGTGGTGGGGGCGATGTGGAGGTCATGCCCTGGGTCAGCGGTGACTGCTTTCAGCTCTGCTTCACCCGTTTCCTAGGCGGTCCGACCGGTGGAATTTGCTGAGTTGCCAGCGCTCGGAAAGCTTCCGCTATTAGATGCGGATGGGAGTTTACCATGGACTTGAAACCTTGAGTATCCATCACGTCTGTCGCGTGTCTGCAAGAAGCGTTTCGCGAGTGGATTAGAGACGGCGAGATATGTCGCCCGCGTGTTTGCGTACATTCTTAGTAGCACAGTTGAAGAATATAATTTTGATCCTTAAGGAATAAAATTATTCTCTTTCAACCGATGAGAGGCAAAGATATTACATTATATGACATTTATACATTTTTCCTCCGCGGAAACTTACGTATTGATGAAGTCTATCGCTTGCTCCTTGAGTTGAAGAGCGCTATGGAGATCGGCAAGTATGAGGATTTCGGCCGCGTTCTCAATGGCTAAGCTCGTGCAAAGTGCTTCCTCGCACATCACTTTTAGCCTCTCTAACGCATATTTGTCCGCCGCAGCCAACAAGTCATCTGCCATCTTCTCCAAATTTGTCGCTTTACCGGTATAGATAAATCGCAGCATTTCTCGTAATACCTCATGATCTACATCGGTGATATCCACACGATTTTGCTTTCTCTCTTCCATTTCATGTTCAAACATTGCTGAGAAAACCGGACTTCGTGCTGTAAATGAATCAAATTTAAAGACATCAATTTGTTCATAATTTCACAATTTTATTCGATTGGAAACTTTTCTTCTTTATATTCATTCAATCAAAGATTCTTTCTTTTTTTATGTCATTGTTTTTCTTCTATTCTACATTTTACATTTAAGCGTAATATTAAGCATAATGATGATGATGATGATGATGATGATGATGATGATGATGATGATGATGATGATGATAATAATAATAATAATAGTTTCCGTTTTTACGCATATCAGAAACCGTGTAGATGAAGGATCGCGAATAGAGCGAAATGATGTGCGGAGTCTTACCTGCGAGAATCGCCTTATGCGCGTGAAATTCTCTCCCACAGACAGTGAGTGTTACGTCGCTAAATTTTTGGTTTTCAAATAGCAGCCCGAGATCATCGGGTAATCGGCACTCGGGCACTTTAAACTGCGTCGTATTACTCTGCCCGGAAATATTTACACTGTCCGCCACTACGCTGACCTAGGGGGATAATAAAATTATGGAGATGTAATGAGATGTTCGGTAAAACGAGATCGAATAAGTATGATAATCGACATACAAAGGTATATACCTCGCAGAATATCGTGAGTTTGTCGTCCGGTAGCAGCCCATTGGCCTCATCTAGCAGAAAGTCTCTCCTGATGAATTTCTTGAAACCCCAATCTTTACCCTGGACGAACCTATACGCACGTTGACTCTCTGCAAGAACAATTTAAAAAATTTATTCAATTTGACAATCGTGGATCGTATCTTATAATTATGTTCCAACTAATCTTATTGCATCGGTTAAAGTTAAAAACTGGCTTTCGTCTCAAAAGAATTGTCGCGACGAAGATGGACGAAAATCTTTAAAATACCCTGCATTGCATCCGTACATGTACACACGCCGGTGATACAGATTAATTGCGCACGTAACATTTGCCACTTACCCATTGCTTTGGTTTCTTCTCTTTTGGCATTAAGAATAGAAAATTTAAACTTTGCTCTGACTTCGGATTTGTTGCACGAAACGAGAAGGAGATAGAGTGACAGGTAGTCTTTGCTCTCCTCATCCAGTCCCTTAGGATTCACTCTCAGACACCTAGAAACCAATTATTGCATCAATTGACACGATTATTGTCATTGGCGCTCTAATTTACCTTCCTTCAATACCGCAATGTTGTAATTTAAAAAAAAAATTCTTTTTCAGCTTCACTTTCAATTTGAAAATCAATTTATGCAATTAGCTTTTCTCTAGATCTTACCGGCGCAACGCACAGACAAAATAAACTATAGAACGAAAATATATAATACGATAAAAAAGAAAGACTCTCGTATTCTCAATATTATTTAGATTCATTTACAATTAGACTATATATTTTTTTTAATATTTACAAAATTCTATTCTACACGAGACACGTTAAATATCCTCTCGCGCGACTTAACATCGGACTTAATATCCGTATTTTGAATAAATTACGGAATAAAAATTACATTAACAAGAAATTCATAATTTAAAATTTTGCAAGTATTAAAGCTCTATACATTATCACATATAGATTATTATTATATATTTATACATCACTTCACACACGTTACTCGGACTTATCTGCTAAATGAACGTGTCAATAGATGCAAACGTTTTCGTACGTTAATCGTACTGCCTAATCGTACGATTTAATACAAAACTCGATTGCTATTGACACGTACATTCGTTTATCTTGGTTCGTATGCAATGCAAAGAATCTTAAACAATTTTTTTTTCCCTTGGATCCGTTCTTTTACGGGCGATTAAATGCGCCAAGTCTGTGACTAAGAGACTATGATCGATGACGATGACGATGACGATGATGACGATGGTGATGATGACGATGATGATGGTGAATGATGATGATGATAATGATGCTCTTACCATTTCAACTTGTCGTTGGCCCCTGCGGAGAACGTGGATGACTTAAGCACCTCACCCATCTCTTCGCGGCAAAAACTGAAGTTATTTATCGTCCACATGTAGCTGAACTTAACCACCTTCACCTGTGCACATAAGACCTTCAAATGCGATACCACGTCAGAGTCTATCTCGTGGAAGCTAGCTTAATCTAACTAAACGCTAAAAAGGCTATGCAAACACCCATTCACGGTTGTCGTCTCGTTTCGGATATTCGTACTTACAATTTACAAAATCAATCTATTTCTTTCGTTTCCTGTACAGAAGATGGATCTACGCAAAATTAAATATTTATAGTAGATACCGCGGAGAAGCAATTTCTACAACTCCTTAGAATAACTTTCGATGAAATATAGACGAGGATCGGAGCCTTTTTCAGAGAGATAATAAATTTGTTCTTGACGAAAAAATATAAAATTTTTATTTTTTATTTTAAATTTTCGAAACCTTAAAACCTGTACAACTTTTTTATAGTTAATTAGTGGCGTCAGTTAAAATGTATAGTATAGTACAGTGGTAGGTAGTTGAGCTCTTAGAAGTGAGACATCCGGCGATTACGAATTATCAGCACAAGTAAACGTCTTATCACTATAATTAAATCACATTGCAACTATCTAATCATGTTTACGAATTGTCTTCGTTTCACATATATTCAATTGGTCATATTCCTTCTTATATATATATATATATCTCCACGTAAAAAAAAAAAATCGCGGTGCATGGGATTCAGGTATTTCTGTTTGTCGAAATTATATTTGTCGGTAGACCCGTCCTCCTCCAACTTCGCAACAACAATATGGTCATGGTATCGTGTCATGTGGAGCTAAAACGTATCGGAAAATAGCTGCGCAACAACGCGTTATAATAGCAACTTTGTCGTTAAAAATAACATAATTACATAATAGAGATTTCGAAAGGAGTGTCGTGTTGATTATGAACAATAAAGAGAATGTGTTTGTTTTCATATATATATATATATATATATATATATATATATATATATATATATATATTAATTCCAATCTCTCGTAAAAAGCTCTCGATAGAATAAAATTCCTTTGAATCGAAATCAAACCTTGAAGACGAAGTACTACAAGTACCAGTGGTAGCGCAGAGGGCGACAGGCAGAGGGGAAAAGAAGGGGAGTTTTCAGGGTCGAATCGTCGAATGATGCTCAGCCTGCTTACGCAATTCTCTTAAAGATATATACGGGAGGATTTAACGGTAGAGACGTGATTTTAGTTATTTCGAAGGACCAGCATTTTTTTTTCATCCGTCTTTGACGATAACGGTTTCAACGCATATATGTGACCGCATTTTTTTTCACCGCGGTTAGCATTAATATGCATCGACATTGCGGACACGGACTGAGTCTAATAGTATCGAGTTCTCATCTCTCTTTCTCTCTCTCTCTCTCTCTCTCTCTCTCTCTCTCTCTCTCTCTGCGTCTTCATGATCGCACGATCGGCACGAAGAAACATTAAATGAAACATTTTAAGTCGCCTCTAAACTTTGAGACTTGGTTCGCTTAGATTTTGCCTGGAGTCATTTAAATGTATGATCAGATAAGATTATCAGGTTTTGCGCCGAGAGAATTTTTAAGGCAAACGATCGCAGAAACGAAAGTAGGAAAGGAACTTGACGCAAGAAGGTCGAGTTACCGGAAGAAGTCAATGATCTTTGACGTCAGCGTCACATGGACAACCTTGGCGAACGAACGGTAGCCCGCGGCCAAAATTCGTCTAGTATTTCTTAATGGCGAACTTTGCATAGAATTCTTATCGACTATCTAATGCAACTGTTGCGCATCCTCTCGCATATCTTCTTTTGAGAATCCCGACTGACAAAAACATTAAAAAAGTATGGACAAAGAAAAAAAGAAGATTCTGTTTTTTCATATAAAAAAATCACAATGAAAGAAGAATAATTTCCGATTTAATTAAACGATTTTGAAAAGACCACTAATTATTATCATTAAGTCTATCTCGATTTTGAAAAGACCACTAGTTATGTATTAAGTCTATCTCTATTTAAATTAGAGTCTCAAAATGCAGATTAAGTACGTAAAAGTCTATGGCAATTTTTGTTATAGAGAAAATAATGAGAGATTGCAAGAATTTAGTTGCAATCATTAAGCGGGTTTGAAGTGGATCGAAAAATCTGACATTATTATTATAGAGATTACAAAGTTGGCTCTAAATAGAATCTTACAAGTTTTTAAGCAAAATTTCTCCGCCATGGAATGGAATACGATACAATGATGTATTGAGTTTAGATCATTATAGCAAAATGCTTTAAGAGTTGATATGTACTTTCGACAAATACACACAGGCCCCAAGTTCGCGGTGAGTACCACAATGAATCACACAAGAGTCTTTCTGCTTATCTCCTATTATCCGTAGGAAAGGGACAAAGGAAAGCGTGAGAAATGTTCGCGAGATACACTACACCTCCACTCTCGACAATTTAAGTGAAAGTTCTTTTCTCTTTTCAATGGTCGCCCTACAATCGTAAGTAATAACATACGTTCATATTCGAAGCTTTGTCTTTCTATAATCCTCCCAATAAAATGTAAAATTAAAATACTCAAAAAACACCGAACTTGCTCCAATTCAAAATTATCGTAAAACGCAAAGAAATCTTTTTCTTCGAAAGTTCCGTTTAAAAGAACAGGAAAAAGAGGAAAAAGAGGAAAGAGAGAGAAAGAGAGAGAGAGAGAGAGAGAGGAAAGCGGGGGAAGGGAATATTTCACTTTATCAAAAAGTTACTTAACCGACATTCTTGGATTGAGAGACATTTCGCGCATCAAGAACTTTTATCCGCTGTGATTAGGTGAATTTTGTTTTTCACTTTGATCGCGAGCATATCGCGCATTTATTCACGATTACCGGACAGGCGAGTTCGATGATCTTCACCTCAGCGTTGACCTTCGCACATCGGAAGCTTAAGGTCGACATTCGAGTCGTCGAGAAGCAGGAAAGAGGTGGCTATCTCTCCCGCAAGAGTTCAACGCTCGCTCGTCCTGTAATCTCCTTCGTGGCCGGTTATTTCTTACGACAATTCGTTTGTCCGGTAGGAAGCAAAAAGGCAGAAGAGCCGTGTGACATTTCGTCACTGTTGCAACGATTAAAGAAGAATCGAGCTTTTAAACAAATCGAATATATCTGAGGACACCTGCATCGTTATTTTTGGATAAACTTTCCTCACCTGATTGTAATGAAGAAAGATATTTTTTTAAGTTTTAGCGATACACATTTTTGCATATTAAATTTGCATTCCGCAAATTTTCATTTGTTATACAATTTTATTTTTATCGTTAAAATGTTATATATAAAATATTGCTTTTTCATTGATGCATTTATTTTGAAGAAAAATAATAGAATTGAAGAGAAAAAAAATAGCTCAAAAAAAGGAGAGATTTTCTCCTCAATAACATTCTTAATAATCGTAAAGTGTTTTTTTTTTAATATTAATTACTTAAGTTTTAATATTAAGTATTATCATTTCTTGATTTAATTTCGTTTCCTTCGACATAATCCTACGCGTTGGTAACGTGCCAACAACTAAACTTCTTCGTTCGCAGAGTACCAATAATTCCCGCTCGATGTAAACGTATTGAGCGTATTGTCCTTTTCCTATAGCTAAACGATATACGTGACGGCGAAACCAATAATGCAATTGTATGATTCATATGGGAAATAATCGGTGTGACAATATAAAGAAAAAGAACGGCAAAGTCTGTTGTTATTTTTCATTTCACATAATACCAAAGAAAATTGAGAAAGTTATAACATGAAAAAATACCTTAGTCATTTCAAGTATAGAGATATATTTTAATGTAATGACATTGACAAATAATTGTATTTTTAAAAGCATTTAATTAAATTGATTTAGATAAGGGAAAATCAAAATTTCTTTAAAAAAAAATGTATATATATATATATATATATATATATATATATATATATATATACGTGTATATGGAGAAGATGGTAAAAATGGGCATTTTTATCTCTTTTCTTAAATAAATTTTAAATCCGAAATTTAATTAAAATTTTATATCCTAAAATCTTCGATTTTCCTTTTAGAAAATTATTTAATATTTTTGCTGGAGGAAAAAGCTGTCTCTAGATTGAACAAAGAATTCGCTCTTAAAAAGATACTCGAAGGTTTCAAGACACAATGTATGTTAAATAATTATAAAAAATATCTATATATAGATATAATTTATCTATCTAAATTAAATCTTTTTAATCTCCAAGTTTCCTCATGATGTCCGTCATGAAATCTGTCCCATGTACTCTATGGGGGGAATTTGAAGATTATCGAATTCTGCACGAAGCTCTCTAGGAAGATTCCAGATTATTTCGAACTAACATGACGGAATGAAATTTGCACGGAATGTTTGTAATTTTATTTTACAAACAAGTGGAACGTCTCGCAAAACTATTCCGCTGGAACCTTGAGAGCGGAAGCGACGTGTAAGCTTTTCGCGCGCGAGAAGAGAGGTCAGAGGAAGGGTTCATCGTCTCTCCTGGGTGTTCCGTGTAGCGAGTCGGCGCAGATCTCCGCCATCAGGTGGAGCGGCAAGGAGATTGGTGATGGTGATGGTGATGGTGATGGTGATGGTGGTGGTGGTGGTGGTGGTGGTGGTGATGGTGACGATGGTGGTGGTGGTGACGATGGTGGTGGTGGTGACGATGGTGGTGGTGGTGGTGGTGACGGTGGTGGTGGTAATGGTGGCGGTAGTGGTGCTGGTGGTGGCGGCGGCGGCGGCGGCGGCGGCGGCGACGACGACGACGACGACGACGACAACGACGACGACGACGACGACGACGACGACGACGACGACGACAACAGCGGAGGAGGCGACCCGGTCGACGCCCCTAGGAGTCGTTCAACCCGCTCGCGGTAATTGTCGACAATCGGCCTTGAATCATCCGTGCCTGTTTACGGGAGCGTCATGGAACACGCGCGGATTTCAAGCACACCCAACAGACCAACACCAAGCCGGCAACTTCCGGTGGTCGGAGCACTCCTCCGATATGGTGCACGACCGCGCCGAGGTAAACGATCATTGGCCGCTTTGCGGATCATCGCGAGTCGCGATAGAAACGAATGAACGCGAGAGTGGAATGTCTTTACAAAATTACTTCCTAAACGATGCGCGTCACTCGGCGCGTATTGTTACGCAACGATTCGCCATTTTTTTTTTAAATTTATCACTCGAATAATTTTGTACGTATATACATACATTAGAAAATGTTACACCGGTTACTTTTTCGCGAGGAATGTTGGGGATATAATTGCATCCGCCGCGAAATTTCTTTCATTCGTTTTTGGAGTCATTATTTTCTGGAGTCACTTGCGGCATGTACAAAATTTTCTTTTTATACATATACGTAATATTCTAATGAAGAATTATTTTACAAGTTTTCCTCCAGCGTATAGTTTCAATGGGATTCGATTTTATTTTTGTAGAATCAGTTGCAAGATTATCAGAAAAATTGTAATTTAAAAGCGAGAAATTTAGTCTTTCTATAATTTAAAATCATTTAAAGTGTAAAATATTAAATTTTTATTCGCTTATCAAAAGTATTTTAAATCTGGGAATTATATTTTCTACGTTTCTCAAAAAGAAGACAAAAAGTCTACATAGTTTCTCGTATACAAATCCTTGGATTACCAATCCTCGTTGACAAATTCATCCCGCGATAAACTTGAGCCTTGAACAACTATGCGAGAAATGTTGTAAATTTACACGTGCGACAAAAAGCCCAAAATCCACAAAGGACAAAGTTAGATATCAAGGAGGCGATACAATAATTTCGCAAAGGTTAATGTTGAATCTAGAGTATCGACAATCAACGACGTTCGAGGCTTTTCCGAGACTTTTCGGAAAAGGTTTAGATCTAAAATGAATGCGATTGTTGCGCGCGAGATGCGAGGAGATGCGATGTCGCAAATCTTTCGCGACACTCGAGGACGATGATGCTATTTGGCATTCGCAACGCTCTTGTCCTCCTCACAAGAGCTTTCGACGGTGATGATAAATCGCGGCGGTCGGCGATAGCGCGAATCGCAGCAGGCACGGCAGGTAACACGGTAGATGTTGTGGCGAAAATGCGGAACCGCTGACGCGGCGAAATCGGTTCGGTGAGTTACGAAAGTTAACTGGAGCACGGATCGACTTTCGATTTATGGGCGAGTGCTGCGCCGCGTCGGTGCTGCGCAACCATCCATCCATTCCATCGATTCGTACGAGAGCTCGACGCGAACGATAAAATCCTAAGATTTAGCAGTAGCCGCGCCGCTCTTGCGAAATCTTTGCCGCGCGAGAGCGAACGTAATAACGCTCGCATTCTGTTCCGCGCGTTGTCGAAATTGGACGAAAGTTGAAGAAATACGTATATGCATCGAGAGGAAAACGGAGATTTTACTCTTGTAACCTGTAAATATTTTTTTTTTACTTGCAAACTTCCCCCCCCCCCTCTCTTTCTCTCTCTCTAACGATCAAAGCTCTCTTTCGAGTATCGTCGTGTAACACCGACGCGGGAGGAGAGAATTATTTCGAATAATTCGAAAATGCCTGTATCAACATCAAGTCTATAATATTCAGTCTACAGTGTATACGAGAGGCTACATTTCTCTCATTATTATAATACGTTCGCGATTGCCATCCATGTACGCTGCGCTATTATTACGTCAACTTTGTTATTTCAACTTGTTTCTTCCAACTTTACATCTCCCACTGGCAAACGCCCATTGTCGCGAATCTCTCGAGGAAGGGAGAAGGAGAGGAAAGGATAGCGGGAGGCTGATGACAAGCCATCCGTCTATTTCGCCAGGGCGCTTCGTCGCGCAGGGCGTCGACGCGATCGCGCGTAATCCCAACTTGATTACGACCGTTTGTATTACGCGGTCCGCGGCGACGAGCGCAAATAAGCGGCGCTAAGCGGAAATGGCGAGGAGGAAACAAAGGACGGCAAATTTCGCCGCGAGCGAAAATCGCGAAACGTTTCCGCAACGGCCGCGCGTTGACCGCGGGGAGGACGAGACCGACGCGGAGAGTAGCGCGACGGGAGATATCTAGTTGCAGGTCGTTCACATCGCGCGAGGGGGACAAGCGAGGGGAACGGTAAAAATAGAATGAGAGCGCCAGGAGCGCGTTCTCTCACGCGCGTTCTCTCGACGACGACGACGACGACGCGACGTTATGCGCGATCGCGATGATCCTCCACCGTGTCCCTCTAATGCGAATCTTCTCCCTCGTCCCTCCCTTGTTCGATCCATACGGAGTTGACGACGACGTTGGACGATTGGATTTGCTCGGCGATGTAATATCAAACTCGGATGGTTTGATATTAATCGCACGCGACTCTCGTCTTCAAACTGTCTCAAATGTCAAACATCTATCGGAGGAGTGATATTTTTATTTATTTTTTTTTAAATTATATAACTTTTCACAAATTCTTCGTAAATCGTAAATTTTTTCCAACTCTTTGTAAACTCTGCTTCGAAAAGTACAAATTTTAAGTTATTTCAACAGTTTGGAAACAAATTTTTCACGTCTGCATTCCGGAGTAAATTTAACTTTAGAATCATATCTAAGACTTTCGCGTGAAATCGCCTTATGCGTTTAGGGACACCTAACGTTTAGAACCTAGATCATGATTTACGCGAAGATTGCGCACAGTAATCTCACAGTTATTAAGAAAAGGAATTTCTTTCTAATGGACCCAAGGGAGGGGGGGGAGACACGGTCAGAAAAATATTCCCTTTACAAAATTAATCCTCTTGGATCTAACGTCGTTTCAAAGTAAAATCACGCGAACGTAATACATGTAAGTGATATTTGAATATCACGATATTGAATGTTAATTTTTCGCTCGCGCTCACAAAATGCTCTTACAATGAAATTCCGTCACTAGCGGCGACTAATGTATATTTAAATGAAACGAATTTCGGCGCGGATGGATTTCGATCGCTTGGAATCACGCGGGAGACGACTCTCGACTCTCGAGACCGACCTCGACGATGAACGAAACGTACCTGCGTGTAACACCAATTCTCGGCCACGGGGGTGTTCACTTCCGGCGGTGGCGGGCTCGGGACACGGCTCACCGCCATACTACTGCTGCTGTGCAAGTTTGAGCTGACCCGCGACGTCTGAGGCGCACAGTCGCTCACCGCAAGTCTGTAACAAAACGAGAGAGAGAAACGTCCGGTTATTATCATTCGGGCGAACGGAATCTGCGTTTTGAGTCATCATCTCGCCATGTACCATATACGTTATTTTAGCTCGGAAAGTCGTGCCTGCGCACCGACGTTACATCACGAGGGGTCGTCGAATCCCTTGGTCGTATTTCTGAGCGATGGGACAGAACAGGAGTTTATTGGTTACCAAACACATAATGTACATAATTCTTTGCTCTCTTTATTCAAATACATCTCGTAGATTCAAATTGAATTCTCGAAATGTAAAGCGACAAACGTATCAAGCATCGTGAACATAACATTCAAACAAATACGTACAGAAAAGCTACAAAATTTATATTTTACATCCTTATTTTTATATCCTTTCCATACTCTATATCGTTATATTGTTACATCGTCTAGTATCATTGAATATAACTTTCAATTAAGCGTGATTTTCGTGATTGTTATTACCATCGACTATTCTCTACTTCTTGCGGGTGAAGCGAGGTCATCGGCGGTCGATCGATCCCATATACGAGTATATATAGGAGAAAAAGAGAAGGAGCGATAGGAAAGAGGATAGGAGAACGGAGCGCGAAGGAAGCGCAAGGATGGAAAAGGAAAAAAGGTATGCAGGACACACGCGATGGTGCTCACGTGCGGTACCAAGTACGGAACCGCTCCGAGAAGGCGAGTCAAGTACGTTAGCCCGGCAGGTTCATCGGACGCCGTGGCGATCCGACCAACCAGGAAACAGAAACTAAATCGAGAGCGAATACTCTTCTCGCGTATCCGTCTCGCTCTTCGTGACGCGAACAGCCATTTGCTCGATCCGCGCCGAAGGTATCTTTTAACGAAATCAGTTCAATAGCGAAATAACGAGCGATAAAACAGTAGCGAGAAGAAGAGTAATGGAAATAAGTCTCCTATGCACATTGAGACGTAAACATTGTCAGAGAGAATGCAATAGTATTGTGTGTGTGTGTGTGTGTGTGTGTGTGTGTGTGTGTGTACGCGCGCGCGCGTAATTACACATCATATATAATATATGTATATAATTATAAATAATTTTATGTTTATACATAAAAAATTATTTATACATTATTACATAATTATGTATACGATCATTTTATTAACTTCACACAGACACAAATCGCCTAAAAAATTTACAATTTTTTAATAGATTTGAGAGATCGATGTCGTAAAGCGCATGATATTTCCTTAAATAAAATAGGCAATAGACAAAATGTAAATAATTTCGAAATTATTATGATGATAATTTAAAGTAAATAATTTGTACTCTGAAAATAGTATAATGACGAAATTATCATGGGAGCAGGTACTTCTTGTTTTAAATTGAAAAATCGATGCGGCGTGCGTATTATTATCGTTTATGTCATTGGTATCGCTTCTTCTGCCCCTTTTTTTACCGAGGATACTTTTGTATGGCAAATTTCTCCAGTTTTATGCGAGAGAGAGAGAAAGAGAGAGAGAGAGAGAGAGAGAGAGAGAGAGAGAGAGAGAGAGAGAGAGAGAGAGAGAGAAGATTGCATCGCCTCGACTTTTAAGAGACTCTTGTTTGTACATACATTCGATACCCACAACTTTCACTTCCATACTTCCAACGCTATACAACTCCCACGTCACTTTTGCGCTAGATATCGGCGGAGGTATTGCCAGATCGAGTGGAGGAAGAGTGGTTTATTCGGGACAAAGAAAACGGCAAGTAAAATAAGAGAGAGGGATACAAACGATTTTATCATAATCATGTCGCTCTGTTTTGCGAAAAAGCGATCGCGTTAGAAAGTATAAGCAAAATGGCGAAACGTTTCCGTCGATGTGAAAGGACAATGTTTCTCTCAGAGGCGTAAGTGTGTATGTGTGTGTGTGTGTGTGTGTGTGTGTGTGTGTGTGTGTGTGTGTGTGTGTGTGTGTGTGTGTGTGTGTGTGTGCTGTGTGTATCGCAGAGGAAAAAGAGAAGCCTATTACAATTTTTATTTTGCGAAAAGTGAAAATTTTCGGAACAGCACATGGAAAGGCTTTCACAAATTCCATGTCGAGCAGAAAAGTTATACATTTTATATATATATATATATATATATATATATATATATTTCAAGTTAAATATAATTAAATATAATTAAATATAATTATATAATTAAAATATAAAACAAATAAGCTATACGTAAATATTATTATAATTAAGAAAGAAAGAAGGAAATGGAGAGAAAAGAAATTACCTTTCTAGTATATTACTATAGAGTATAAAATGGAAAAGGCTGAAAGAGCGAAATTCGCACAAGGCGATTAACGAGAGGCTTCCTTCCGTTTACGACCTGTCTGATTTTTAGAAAAGACGAGGATCAAACCTGGGAAGATGCACAAATAGATATTATTTCTTTTCGCGAAGCGATCGAGATATTCGCCCCAGCTCCCGGTAGGCGTGGCCTCGGGAATTCAGGGGAAAGTAGAACGAAGCCCCGAGCCCCGAGCCCCGAGCCCCGAGTCCCGAGCCCCGAGCCCCGAGCCCCGAGCCCCGAGCCCCGAGACCCGAGTCCCGAGCCGCGATACAAGCTCGCTGGTGAAAACGAGGAAGTTGAGTGAAAACCGTCGTCTATGGTACGTTGAAATCACGTAATTACAGTACCTGAGAGTCCGACACCGCGGATAGCTTCTTGCCAAATCGTCTTGCAATTCGTGCGACTCGAGGAATAGATTTCTATCCTTTAGCTGTTTATGAAAATAAACGTCTTTTATCTCTCTTCCGAGTTTTTACGCGAAACCGTGTTCAAAAGTTATTTGCACACTCGCCGCAACAATATTGCCAACAATTTAATTCCCTACGTAATTTGTCAATCGTGTGTCAAGTTATCTCGTTCATATTTTGCATTTCTCCGACCAAAACAAGCGCCGTCCGTTATCTTTGTCCGCAAAAAAGATTTCGCAAAAAAATATCCGAGTAGCGCGCCAAGTGGCGCCTGTTTTCCATCTGTCTTCAGATTTCACTCTTCCTCGACGGTGTGTAATTGAGAATCGCTATGTAATTGTCGATAAAGATGACACAAAGGTTATGGCGTGATGTAGCATTGCAGCAACGGATGAGATTGCGTTCTCGACGAGGAGGAACGTTTCTTTTTCCTTTTTTTTTTTTACGCGAACGCGTAACGCAATGTGCAAGGACATCACCGTAACGAGAGAGAAAGAGATAGAAGTAGAGAGGGGGGATCCGTTCATGGCTCTCTCTCTCTCTCTCTCTCTCTCTCTCTCTCGCTCGTCACGATCAAATTTCGAATCCGCGCCGCGCATAATTAGACGCATTTATTTCCATTCACCCGATTTAGCATTTCGTAAGATCGGTAACGACACACATTCGTTAATGCTAATGCGCGACACGCGCGGCGATGACGTTCGCGGAAAAAACGATAGAGAAAAATAAATCTCAGTGTCAAGATCGGAAGGTCGCGCAGGCGACCGAGTGCAACGTGGCACGAAGCTAAAAATATCCCTCCCTCCGCTTTTATGATTATCGCGATTATGGCGAATCGCCGTCGATGCATCGGGTACAATCGCGATAACGATTCGCGACAGACGGACGCAGCGACAAAGACAACCTTGTGTATCGACATTGTTCCGTCATTGTGTGTATGTATGTATATATATATGATGGAACCAAACGGTTCGAAGATAAAAATTTTGATAAAATAAAAAAATGAATGATTTCGTTCTAGATCAATCGTATATCTATCGATTCTGGGAAAAATACGAAATAATTTGTTTTAATAAAAATTATCGACAAATTATTATTAACAAATCGATGAGACGAGATGACACTTGGATATGAAGAAACGTCAATGTATTATTACGATACATTAAGAAAAAAGTTACATTTCGGTATTCTGAAAGAGCGATGCTTTTTCTGCAGACACGTGGATATGTACACACGCTAGGACCTTGATGTATCGACAACGATAATATGCAGCCTTGACGCTGTTACACAACTTATTTGACATTCCCTGCCATTACACGCTACATTGCTTTTCCTCTAATTCTATACATATCGCGTATTATATTGTCTTTTTATTATCTCATCCATTATATCCCATATTCTATCGTACACATTACAAAGTATTTTAATAATATTGACATTAAAGACGCGCACGGAGCGGCGCATATTTTATTGTCGATCAATTATTATTAACGCGATTGGTAACGAATATAATTGACATTTTATAACTTATCGGAATGAAATATAGAAAAAAGTATTCAAGTATGAACACATGGTGAGAAAATATACACGCGCATTTTAACTCTATTGTTTTTTTATTTTTTTAATTCGTCCCGATTTTTCTCCTCCGATTGTCCTAATGCTGCATCGAGGCAAGAAATCGTCGATTGTTTTAAGCCAAGCAGACGGATTCGGCCAAGGGAGACGGGGAATCGAAAAAGCCGACCGTCGTCGCTCGGTCGATTTTCGCAGGAAAGTCAGTAGACGAGACGAGACGAGACGAGACGAGACGAGACGAGACGAGACGGGACGCGACGAAGAAGAGGGGCAAAGTCAAGGCTGACGCTCTGCTTGGCGTAAGCCAGAGTGTATGATAAGACAAAGACTGACTCTCTTCAAGGGCGACACAAGCAAACGCACGCGCGACTCGCCTTCGCGCGTCTTGCACGCGCCGCAACTTGTCGCTCCAGCGAGGACAAGCGTTTCCTCGCGAAGAAGACGCGCGCTGGTTGCCTCAGCTTCTCGGGAACCGATCCAACCGAGACTCCAACCGGACCGAGCGATAAACAGCCGGGGCAGGGCGGGGATCACGGTTGCTGCAACGCGCAACGCGAAATCGGTTGCAGTTTCAAACGTTTGCACTTGCACCGCAGAGTCTCGAAGAAAATGCGAAAGCGATGATAAGAAATCGATGTATGCGTATGTGTTTTGTATCGCATATCGCAAATTGATAGATCGGCACTATGCAAACATGAATATAGTACTCGACAATT